GGCTGTTGCCGATGCCGCCTGCGGGTCCTTGCCCCTGCACTGGTACGGCGGGAACAGCACGCGGCAGCCCTGGGCGAAGTGCCTGGAGGAACAAAGGGCTGCATAGACATCACTGTCGGAGGCTCACGCGGATTTCTTGGATCGTCGACGGGACCCCCTTCCCGAGTGCGCGGGGTGCGCCAGACGGAGGCCCAGCGCCGGTCCAAGAAGTTGGCGCGGAGCTCCGAAGGTTCATGTAGATGCAGCGCTCTCCTTCGAGGGGAGCGCTCTCCTGCCCCTGCACTGGCACGGCGAGGACATGCACGTATTCCCCCCCCATGGCTTTGGCAGGGATCCATTCTTCTCTTCCGAGGAGCTGGGCCCGGGCGTTGGCTTGGCGGCCCCGTGCTTGCCATCGACGCCCCGTCGCCGCCCGTCGTCTGGGCCCGGGTGTTCGTCCTGCGGCCCCGTGCTCGCCGTGGCCGCCCCGTCGCCGCCCGCCGTCCCCTCTTGGGCCTGCGAGGCACTTCTCGGGGGTCTCCTGGGCCGTCTTGGAAAGATCTTTGGAGGCTCTTGGGCCGTCTTGGGCTGTTCTTGGCCCGAAAAGGGAAACCATCAGGAACCATCAACACCTGCATGAATGTTGCGTCCTCGGGCCCTCTTGGGAAACCTCTTGCAAGCCTCTTGGGGCGTCTCGGGCCCGCTTGGGCCTTCAGGCCATCTGAGGCCATGTTGGAAAGGTCCTGCACGGTCTTGGAGTCTCTTGGACCGCTCTTGGGCCGTCTTGGAGCCGTGCTGGACCTCTCTTGGGCCGTCTGGGGGGGTATCTTGGGCTGTTTTGGACGCCTCTTGAGCCGTCTTGGGGGCCTTTTTTGGGAGGGGAGGACGATTAGACCTCTGTCCCCGCTCCTCCCCCCTCCCACGGACCCCTCCGTACGTCATCACTTATACCTGCTTGGCACGGGGACGGAAAGCGCGTGTACTTCGTGAGGTCGCGCGATCGCTTGCGTAGGGTCTTGGAGCCCTGCTGGTGTTAAAGATTTTGGTCTGACGAGCTGACATCTACCAAAACACCGAGCGGAAATCAATGCATATTGCACGTCTGGCCTTCCTGGGTGTCCCTTTGGGGTTCTTGTTGGGCAATCTTGAGGCCCTCTTGGGGCGTCCTGGGGCCCTTTTGGGCCGTGTTGGGGGGCTTGGGCCGTCGTGGGGCCCTATTGGGGCCCTCTGGGGTCCTCTAGGGGACCTCCAGTGGCCCTCTTGCGGCTCTCTTGGGAGCCTTTTGGGACCCTCTGGGGCCTCTCTTGTGGGCCACCTTGGGGTTCTGTCGGGATGTCTTGGAGCCCACTGGCCGTCTCGGGCCCTCTCGGGGGACTCCTGGCCGTCTCGGGGCGGTATTGGGGTCGCGTGCCCCAAATGCATGTTTTTTCTGCTTGGAGCCTCCTGGGCCGTCCTGGGCGCTCTTGGGGCTGCCATGGGCCGTCTGGGACCGGACACGGCCGAAAATTCGGGCGATAAAATGTGGAACGGAACCTGCCAACCTCCTCGCGTTTCCCCTTGATAGTTCTCAAAAAATATACGGATCGCGACGCTACGCGCGCTTTCCGTCATCCGGGCCCCTAATGGCCAACCCCCTCAGACTCCGCCTTGCTATTTCTTCCGGCTAACGGATCGCGACGCTACGCGCGCTTTCCGTCATCCGGGCCCCCAATGGCCAACCCCCTCAGACTCCTCCTTGCTATTTCTTCCGGCTAACGGATCGCGACGCTACGCGCGCTTTCCGTCGTCTGGGCCCCAAAAGGCCAACCCCCTCATATTCCCTCTGATTATTTCTCCCGTTTCACGGATCACGACACCACGCGCGCTTTCCGTCGTCTGGGCCCCCAATGGCCAACCCCTCAGACTCCCCATTGTTATTTCTCCCGGCGCACGGATCGCGACGCTACGCGACCTCTCCGTCATAATGACTGATGCTGCTTTTTGCTGTTGCTGCGAGCGCCCTGCAGCACGTCTGCTTGCTCCTCGTACGACCGCGCGGTCCGCGCGGCCTTACGAGGAGAGCCATCGCCACTCCAGAGCCATCGCCACTTCTTGTTGAAGGGGCCCTGGGACACACCAATAAATACACACAAATAACATATTCCCCTATATTTTCCTATATTTTCTGGGTTTTTGTCTTCCCCCCCACTCCCCATATTTTCCAATATTTTCTTGGGAACCGACGATTAGTTGTGTCTGGGTGTTTCTTTCCCTCCTGACTTGTGCCGCCCAGCGGAGCGCTCCTTTTTTGAGGGGCAGCGAGAGGGGGGACCGGCTCAGGGCGAGGGGGCCCATCGAGCTGACATCGGCGACACATCGCCGATGGCTCGGTGCTGCTTCTTCGATGGAGGAGCAACTGCGTAAGCATAAACTTGTTGTTTTGGTCTGCGGGTCGAGAGCGAGCCTCTTCCGGCTAAGAGCTAGGCGGGCCGCGCAAAGCACTAATTGAGGAGACAGGCGTAAACATGAACACACACGTGTAATAAACGGTCCGCGAGGATTTCTCGGATCTGGGCTAGACCCCCCTCCCTGGCGCTTGGAGCGCGCGATGGGCGGCGCTGGAGGCGCCGCAAGGGGGGGCCCAGCGCGGATCCCAGAAATCCGCGCGGATCTCCGAAAGTTTTACGTTCGTGCCTTTCTCCCAGACCCCCGACGTAATGATTTTCTCATGACGTCGACCCCAAAAGTGTGTCCACCCCTTCCCCAGGACCGGTCTTTCATCCCGAGTCCTTCTGTGACGGTCCCGCGGCCCGGTGAGGGCCCCCAGAGGCCGAGAATGGCCACAAAAACCTCCCGCCATGATGTTTCTGCACTGCTCGAGGGGGTCTGGGCTCTCGTCTTCGGCTCGCGCTGCCTGCAGCACATCTGCTTCTCCTCGTACGACCGCGCGGCCCCCGCACGGCACGCGGAGGCGTCCATCGCATGGCGCGCCGGGGGCCGCGACGTCGAGGCCGCGGCGGCCACGCTCGCCTTGTCCCACCCCGCCAGCTGCGGGCCGTTCTCGTCGGGAGCGGCCCTCCTTAGGAGAAGGGAGAACTTCGAGCGCAGACAGTTCACCCCCAGCATCCGCCGGCCCCCATTGGTGGGCCACCAGGCTGTAGGGCGAAGGCTCGCAGTGCTGTGCCACTTGCAGCTTCCAGGTTCCACTGTCACTGTTCCGCTTCTTCCTGCTCACTGTCTGCTTCTTGCTGCTTACTGTTCCTTGTTGGTGGACCGCGCGAGGAGGGAGGCCCAAAACAAGTATTTCTACCACGCCCAAATCGTATGCTCTGAATTGCTGGGGGGGGTAAAACTTGACACCCCTCACGCGGATCCGTAGGGGCAGGGTTTAGAAACAAAAGGGATTTGCCACATTTCTGAAATTTGCTGACACCCCTCACGAAGATCGGTGCAAAGACACATGGGATTTGCCACATGTCTGAAATTTGCTGGCACCCCTCACGACGATCGGCGGGATCAGGGTCCAAAAGCACATGGGATTTGCCACATTTCTGACATTCGGTGGCACCCCTCACCCAGATCGGCAGGGTCAGGATGCAAAAACACATTGGATTTGCCACATTTCTGAAATTAGCTGGCACCCCTCACGACGATCGGCAGGGTCAGGGTTCAAAAACACATGGGATTTGCCACATTTCTGACATTCGGCGGCACCCCTCACGCAGATCGGCAAGGTCAGCGTCCACAAATAATGAGATTTGCAACATTTCTGAAATTCGGCGGCACCCCTCACGCAGATCCGTAGGGTCAAGGTCCAAAAACATTTGGGATTTGCCACATTTCTGAAATTCGGTGGCACCCGCGACGCAAATCCGTAGTGTCAGAGTCGAAAAACAAACAGGTCCCGACACTGCTTCACGGCGGCGCCCAAACCTCATGATTTAGATGTTGCATCTCCCATTATCCGAGACAGGGTGCCGGCGGCATGGGCGAAGCCCTTACGGATAACCACCCCGACACGCGAGGCCGTTTACGAAACGCCCCCACTGAAGGAATCGAACAAGGCAGGGCTTTTTCATAAACGCGCAAGCCCGTTTAGTAAACGCCGATTGTCCGGTCCGGGTGGTTTTTCCTCCCTTGAGAAAAATCTCCATAAACAGCCATAAACAGCGTGGCCGCCTGCCATCGCTTTTCGTAAAGGGTCGTGCGAGGCACAGGCAGTGTGTTCGTGCTGGTCGTCAGCCCTTCCTCCCTCCTCCCCTCCCACCCTCTCCTAGCTCTTCGGACGTCGACGTCGGCGGTCTCAGGCAGACCATTCAGGGCCGAACCATTCAGAGTGGAGCTCTAACATTTCTAGAAAAAGAAAGCCGCATAACATACAAACTTTTGGCGCTTCGCTTGAGCAGGGACCAACCGTCCCGGCATTCCTAGAGGCCTACAACGAAATTGTCTTAGAACCCACAAGGGTTTTAAGAACAGAGACAACATTCTTATAACATGAACCTGATGTGCTAAAACGAAACAGTCCCGGCCTGAACTGTTCCAAGAACATTTCGTGGAAACCACAACAGGTTCTTAGAACATTGTTTGGTAGGCTGATAGGCACGCTAGAACGCTTCGCCACTGCTTGATTCGCGCATATTGCTTGGATCTGCGCTGGACCCCCCTACCTGGCGCGTGCAGCGCGCCTGGGGCGGAGCCGGAGGCGCCGCCAGGGGGCCCCGGCGCAGGTCCAAGAAATCCGCGCGAAACGCCAAAAGTTTTTGTTTATGGCGTTTTTTCTTCTTCGACTCCTGTGGCGGACAACGGCCCAGATCTCCGACGATGCTGCCGGCGCCCCCATGTGAGCGACACTCAAAACAGGACTTGCGCGATATGGCACAGCGACCTTACGCGGCGGCTTACGCGGGCCGCCAGCGCGACAAGCTGCATTGACAACGAGGGCGCTTGCGCGGGCAGCTTACGCGCCAATCCCAGTGCAGACGGCCCCCTTCTCGTGCGTCGCTCATTTGAATCAAGAGCGCTGGTCTCGGCTGGGACATCATCATTGCTAGCTCTGAAACTGGCCACGGCGTGCAGGTGACGCTGGCGGTGTGCTACCCGAGGCGAGAGCGCCATTTGGACGGACCTGCGGCCAGTCCATCGAGGACCGGCTGGGCTCATATGATTTGCTCCACCGGATGTCTGTTCCTCGATGGCGGCCCTCGGGAGCTGTCGGGGCCGTTTCCGTGCCCCCGGGACAATACAAGGATGGATCTGGGGCGAAAAGCGGACCCCGGGACAAGGGTCGGGAGGCCCTGGGGCCGCGGACACACAAAAACGCATCGACGAAGGTCAGGGGATCGGTAACAGATGCAAAACTGTTCCACCGTCGGGGGCGCCTGCCCTGGGGCGGCCAGGAAGTCCACGCCCTGACGTGCCACCGCGGGGGCATGCACTTTCCAGCCGCCCCGGGGCAGGCGCCCCCGACGGCGGGAAGGCTTGTTGTTCGTCCCCTGACTCCTGGTGCACCGCACGCCCATCTTCGTCAAGCACCAGGCGTGCTGGTCTGGGGTCCACGCCTCGCACCCCTCGGAACCCCCACAGTCGTAGCTGTCCGCCCCATCGGAAGCCGGCAGGTCGTGCCCCGGGACGGGTGCTGGCCGTGGCGTCGTCGGCGGCGGCCGCTGCGTCGTCGGCGGCTGCCGCGGCTGCCGCTGCGTCGTCGGCGGCCGCTTCTGCCGCTCCGGCGACGGTGGCGGAGGCTCGGGCGAATGCCGCTGCGGCGGCCGCTGCGCGGGCTTCCGTGGCTGCCGGTCCGGCGGCCGCCGCTGCGGCGGCTGCGGCTCCGGCGGCCGCGGGTCCGGCGGCGGCTCGGGCGGCCGCGGGTCCGGCGGCGGCTCGGGCGGCGGTGCCTGCTGCCACCGTCCGCGCCCCTCCTGCGTGCTCGCGCGTGGGTCAGCACCCGTGCCGTGCGCGCCTAGACATGCAGCGAGGGCTCTCCGTTGCGCGTCCCCCAGCCGCGCCGCCGCGCGTGAAGGCTTGCACGAATGCGAGGTCGCTCCCCGTGAGTGCGCACACTCACTGTGCGCTATCCGACGATGTGCCCCCTGGCACGTTGAGGCGTGGCAGAATACAACTTGCTGTCTGGCAGGGCTCCTGTAATCCTCCTAAGGACCCCCCCTCTCGTCGCACAGTTCTTCCCATTTGGCGTCCCAGACTGCCGGGCCAGGCCGCAGAGGCTGTCAGTATGGCCAGATGTGCCTCCAAGTCGGTTCAAGATGGCCCTAACACGGCCTCAAGACAATCCAAGAGGCCAGCAAGACGGCCCACGAGGGCTTCAAGAGGACCCCCGGGAGGGAGGGCCCAAAGAGGCCACCAAAAACATAGATGCATCTCATGTTTGTGAATGAGTTTCGCGTTCTCACCTTTTCGGGCTTCCGTCAGTCCAAAAAAGGCCAAGAAGAGCTCCAAGATGGTCCCGAGACGGCCCAAGAGGCCCCCACAAGGACCTCAATACGGACCTAGACGCCCTCAAGATGGCCCAAGAGGCCTCCAATATGGTACCCAAGGAGACCCCAAGACGGCCCAGGAGACGCCTAAAACTCTTCAGGGCCCGCTGGGGGCCCGAAAACGGACTCCGAGGAGCGCCTAAGATCCCCCAAGAGGCCCCGAATGAGCCTCAGAAGAGGTGCAGGGAAGATGGGGAAGGGAGGAAGACGACGACGAGCACGAGGAGAAACACCCCTGCACGACGTGCACGTCCATGTCACATGTTACGGCTTTCCTGGCTTCCCGTGTGCTGCTCGAACCCTCACCGCACAGACGTGCTGGGCTTGAACGGTGGCGAGACTTGCCACAAACAACGGGGTCAATGTCACTCACGCCACGTATATATGCACGACACTGTGCTTGCTCGGCGCAGAGAGATCACGTGCACGTACGCGGCTGTGAACATACGAACTAATACTTGATCATAACACGACCTGTAATCGCACGTGCTTCCGAATGCATGTACGTACGTATCCATAGAATTGCGACACCATCTACCAATAGTCACCCATATATCGGTTGGTCGAACGTGCCCGCACGCGAACGTACATGTGCATGCGTGTCCCGTGCACATACGATTTGCGATTGGGTATGCCAATACGTATTGCACATATGTGTTGTTGACGCAGCGTGCATATGCCAGAACTCGTTGGGCAAGTGCTTGCTTTGCACTTTTCCAATACTCAACCCTCCGACAGCCCCCTGGCAAAGGGATGAGGGACCTTGCAGGATCCACCCCCAAAGGCGACGACGCCTGGGACGGCAATGACGACGAGAACGATGATGACACGGTGCCCTACCTGGCGAACACGAAGCACAGGAGAAAAGCACGAGACTGGGCAAACCTCGTTGAGAGGCGAGGCTGAGAAGAACCCGATCATCACAACAACAACACCAACAACAACTAGAACAACACACAACAAGTTAAGACTGTTCGCTCTAACTGGCACGCGTGTTTGGTATTCTGTATACTCCGACCCTCGATACCCGCCCACTTCGTCTTCGATCGCACCCCCTTTCGGGGGGGAATATCTTCCTTATCGGCCACTCACTGACTGTAGTGCGAGGAACTCTCGAGCGAGAGCGCCGTTCCTGAGTTCGGGGGCCTCTCTGGCCAGGCCAGGGGCTCTCGGAATACATGAAACATATCTTGTCTGGGCCTCCACCAACGTGCCTGAATTACGAAAACATCTCGAGCGAGAGCGCCACTCTTGACTTCGGGGGCCTCTCTGGCAAGGGCCTCTGCGAATACATCTTGAGGAAGTATCAAACGGGCCTCCACCAACTTGGGCCTCCACCAATTTGACTGAATCGCGGGAAAGTCACGAGCGAGAGCGCCGTTCCTGAGTTCGGGGCCCTTCCTGGCCAGGGGCTCTCGAAGTAAATCGGGAGGAAATATCTTGCAGGAGTCCTCGTCGTCGTGGTTGGGCCCCTGCCAATCTGATTGAATTGCGAGGAGGTCTCGAGCGAGAGCGCCATTCCTGAGTTCGGGGGCCTCTCTGGCCAAAGTGTCTCGGGGTAAATTGTAAGGAAATATCGAGCGCGAGCCGTTTTCGTCGTAGGTGGGCCTCCAAGAACCCACGTTTACCCTCAAGCCACCGCTCGAGCGGGAGCCTCGTTTTCAGAGAACATGTACCCTGCGTCGAGGCGAGAGCGCCCAAATCCGTTTCCTGAGATCAACCATAATTATTCTCTAGAAGTGAGTCTTCAACATCACTCATTTTAAGACCGTTCTCTCTTATCTGCTTGAGCGTGATTCAATGCATAGTATATTTCCCAAACCCTCGAGACCCGAACTCTTTGTCTTAGATCGTGCCCCTTTGGGGGGGTGTATCTCTCGTCTCTGCAGGCCAGGCCCAGGCAAGCGGCGGGGCGGCAGCGGACCGTCGGCCTTGCCAGCGGCAGCGCTGAGCGAGCGGGGGCCACGAAGGTCAGATTTTCTGGGGCCACAGAGGACAACGAGGGGGCCACTGAGGGTGGCAAGGGGCCACGTAGGACCGCGGGGGGCCACAAAGGGCGACACCGGGGCCACGAAGGGCATGCATATGGGACCACGACAGGCGCAAACGAGCGGGGGCCACGAAGGGCATAAATAAATTGAACCGCAGAGGGCAAGGACGGGGCCACGGAGGCAGCATCGGGGCCACGAAGGACAGCGTGGGGGCCACGAAGGGCGATGGCCGCGACACGAAGCGGGGCCACGAAGGGCAACGATGGGGCCACGAAGGGCTACAACGGGGACACGAAGGGCATCGAGGAGGCCATGACGGGCTGCAACGGGGCCACGAGGGGCAGCGAGGGGTCCACGAAGGGCTGCAACGGGTTTCTGGAAGGGCAGCGAGGGGGGCCACGAAGGGCTGCAACGGGTTCCTGGAAGGGCAGCGAGGGGGCCACGAAGGGCTGCAACGGGTTCCTCGGAGGGCGTCGAGGGGGCCACGAAGGGCTGCAACGGGGCCACGAGAGGCAGCGAGGGGACAACGAAGGACTGCAACGGGGCCGCGAAGGGCTGCAACGGGGCCACGTAGGACAGCGATGGGGGCCACAAGTGGCGACACCGGGGCCGCGAAGGGCATGCATATGGGGCCACGACAGGCGCAAACGAGCAGGGGCCACGAAGGGCATACGTATATTGAGCCGCAGACGGCAAGGACGGGGCCACGGAGACTGCAACGGGGACACGAAGGACAGCGAGGGGGCCACGAAAGGCGATGGCCGCGACACGAAGCGCATGCATATGGGGCCATGACGGGCGTGAACGAGCGGGGGCCACGACCGGGGGCGTGAACGAGCGAGGGCAACGAAGGGCAGCGAGGGGCAACGATGGGGCCACGAAGGGCTGCAACGGCGACACGAAGGGCATCGAGGGGTCACGAAGGGCTGCAACGTGGCCACGAAGGGCAGTGAGGGGTCCACGAAGGGCAGCGAGGGGGCCACGAAGGGCAGCGAGGGGGCCACGAAGGGCTGCAACGGGTTCCTGGAAGGGCAGCGAGGGGGCCACGAAGGGCTTCAACGGGTTCCTTCAAGGGCAGCGAGGGGGCCACGAAGGGCTGCAACGGGATCACGAGGGGCAGCGAGGGGACAACGACGGACTGCAACGGGGCCGCGAAGGGCAGCGAGGGGGGCCACGAACGGCTGCAACGGGGCCACGAAGGGCAGCGAGGGGGCCACCAAGGGCTGCAACGGGTTCCTGGAAGGGCAGCGAGGGGGCAACGAAGGACTGCAACGGGGCCACGAGGGGCAGCGAGGGGACAACGAAGGACTGCAACGGGGCCGCGAAGGGCAGCGAGGGGGCAACGAAGGGCTGCAACGAGGGACACAAAGGTCAGCGAGGGGGCCACGAAGGGCTTCAACGGGTTCCTTCAAGGGCAGCGAGGGGGCCACGAAGGGCTGCAACGGGATCACGAGGGGCAGCGAGGGGACAACGAAGGACTGCAACGGGGCCGCGAAGGGCAGCGAGGGGGACACGAAGGGCAGCGAGGGGGCCACGAAGGACTGAAACGTGGCCACGAAGGGCAACCACGAAGGGCTGCAACGGGATCCTGGAAGGGCATCGAGGGGGCCCCACGAAGCGAAGGGCTGCAAAGGGGCCACGAAAGGCAGCGAGGGGGCCACGAAGGGCTGCAACGGATTCCTGGAAGGGCAGCGAGGGGGCAACGAAGGACTGCAACGGGTCCACGAAGGGCAGCGAGATCCCGATTCCTGAATAAGCCGTGAGGGGGTCCTAGGCGTGAGCGCGACTCCTGGGTGCCTGAATGTTGAGAGCGTGGCGCTTGAATAAATTGCGGGAAAAATCCAACGCAAGAGCGCGTTTCTTTAGTACATTGCAAACAAGTCTCCAGCGAGAGCGGGACTCCAACGCGCCGAGAGAGCGATTCTTGCATAATTTGTACTGAAGTCCCAAGCGAGAGCGCGATTCATGAGTAACATGCGAGGAAGTCTCAGACGGGAGAAGAGGTCCTGGCTAAATTGTGCAGAAATCTCAGGTGGTCCTGGCTAAGAGAAGTCAATTGGCTAAGAAGTCCTGGCTAAGAATTGTCAGAATTCAGGCGGTCCTGGTTCCAGGTGTCAGAATTGTGTTAAGAAGTCCTGGCTAAGAGAAGAGGTCCTGGCTAAATTGTCCTGGCCTAACGTGCAATTGTTGTTGTTGTTGAATATTATTACTTCTAAAGAGTAATTATTGTTGGGGCCCCTGGTGCACGGCCCCCTCGCCGCGCCTAGGCCGCAGCCATGTTTTCATCATTTTCGTGAGGAAGTCTCCGGCAAAACGGGTTGGTCCGGATCCGGTTGTTTTGTTACGGGCGGTTTTCCCTTGCAAAAAAATAAAGCAAAGTGGACATTTCTTGTTCTAACATAACCAAATTTCAAGAATCCCTTGCAACAAATAAGGTAAAGTGGACATTCGCGCGCGCAAGACGAAATCCTTCCAAAACCTTAGTGATCGTAGCGATTTTAACATACAAACATAAAAAAACCAATGGTTTTACAAAACCAAAAAAATGTCAAAATTTCATCCCGCGCGCTCTTGCGGTCTTCGCTTGTGTGGTACAGAAACGGAAAAACGTCGTATCAGACGCTAGCGCCTCACTAGCCAAAGCAGTCCATATCATTGTAGGACCTACAGACAGTACCGGCGTCGTACTGGTTTACCGTGGTTTCCTATTCTAGCGTCAGGAACACGTTACCACCAAAAACCAGTACAGGTGTCCAGTGTTGGAACAGGGGGAAAAGTCGTATACTAAGCTAGCGTCCAGAAAATGTTACCACAACAAGTCACTGTACCCATGCGCCAGTGTAGTAGCCACGGTCGTCCGCAGGCCACGAAGTGAAGTGTCCGAACGTCATAGGGCGGGAAGCTGGGTGTGGGTGGTGGCGAAGAGTCGTTTGGAAATGTGGTAGAGCTTGAACCGGCCCCCCCACAAAGTGGGGGTATTGGCGGGCGTCGTATGAAAACCCTGGCACTGGTGAGAACGGAGTGTCCCCACGTGCTAGTAATTGTCGTTGTTGTTGTTGTTGTTGTTGTTGTTGTTGTTGTTGTTGTTTTTGTTGCTGTTCTTGTTGTTGTAACCCGGGGGCCAACAACGCACTTTGAGCCGAGTGACGTTCCTTGACAAACAACCTAGGTGCGAGCCCCGGGGAAAGCACTTCACTTGCAGAAGTCACAATGATTATCAGAGGGGGGTCAACAATAATCATTGGTGAGTGGTGAGAGTTCAGCCACAACAACAAAACACACATTGCCCAGCGCAGCGCGCGATTCGGTGGGGAAACGAACGCACATACCCACCTCGTTCGTAGAAGCCACCAGAGGACGTGCACTGACAGAAAGCCATCGCCCCGCCAAGCGCGTGAGACCGCCCTGCAGAGGCCCTCCACCCATCGCGCGAGACTGCGCGGGGGACCTTCAACACCCCTGAGATAAGACAACGCGAACAAAACTACGATATTGTCCGAATCGCTTGCGGAACCTTTGACCCCATCTCTCTCTGGCGTGTCTCGAGCCAGATCAGTCCGTGAGGGTCCCAAATCTGGGTCAGCCAAATGGGATCAGGGGAGAGTTGCTGACCCCCCGTTCACAGAGATCCGATGGCTTGATTATTTCAGAATGGAGTCCCATGAGTCCCGACCCTTTCCACAGGGCTGGCTTCTGGATCGCACCTCATCACCGATACATCGACCACGACGGCGGTGCATCGGCGTCAGCTGCGTGGAGAAAATCAGGCTCCACATCGAGCCGCATTAGCGATGCGGCGCGATCCTCCGACCCCGTATGCTCGGACCCCACTTTGGAGGCCTGGAACTTCCCACCCCAGGGTTCGAGTAGGGGACTGACTACAGAATTGATTTGCCCCAGCAGTGAAATTTCCGTCGAATCCTGCTACCGTTGAGATACGTACAAAATGCGTAGTTGAACATTTTCGTCCAAACATGCGTTGCCTGTTGGTGAAAGGCTCGTCGATAAATACGCAGAACTTCTGGAACTTGTAGAGTCGACCGACACTTGAATGTAGGGGTGAATCGACTCCGTAGTTGCTCGCGTCCCCGGGGACGCGGCGAGGGCCCCCGGCCCCCCAGAGGCCGAGGAGGCGGACGAGCCTCTGCCGTGATGATGTCTTGAGAGTCGCGGGAACCCTTGGTTGGCGCTGACCGCTGCCACGCCGGCAGGAGGAAGAGAAGAAGGAGAAGGAGGAGGATGAGGAGGAGGAGGGGGAGGAGTATCAGTCAGCATCGAATCGGGAAATCGAGCCGAATCGGAACGCGCGCCGGATCGGGCCGCATCGGCACGAAGGTGGGCTCGGAATCGGATCGGCCGCGCCGGGATGCACACCGGCGGCATGCCATCGTGGGCCGCACCGGATCGTCGGAAGATCGCTGCAGCATCGAGCCAGATCGGGCCGGTCGGAATCGAGACAGAATCGGATCGAAATGGGCCCTGTGGACTCGGGGATCGAGGTCTGGGGCTCCGCTTGCGAGGCTCTCGGCGCCAGGCCGCCTGGGAGAAGGCCGGCGGGCCCACCCCCAGGGTTAGGTCGGGCATGTCCTCCTACAGGCGGGCTTTGAAGGAAAAATGAAAAGTAGCCGAACAATGCTCCAAACTGGTCAAGAATTATGGAACCCCAAGAAGCCACTGTGGAGCCCCAAGAAGCCATTAAGAGGTGGCGAAATAGCACTTGCAAGACGTGGCGCCTGGCTGCGGTGCCTTGCGCGCTGGATGCAGTACTTGTGCGTGGATGCGCGTGGATGCATGCATGTAACCTCAAGACGCCATTAAGGACCCCCCCAGGGTTATCATTAGCACAGCACCGTAATTCAATAATTCTGGGGGACGGTTTTCGCCGAACGATGTAGTTAGCACCGCGCACATGGAACGACCATCAATAATTCCCGCGCCCTGGCTCGGGTGGTATCCCAATTGGAATTGGAATAAGAATAAGAGTGGAATACGAGTAATAAGAATAACAAAATAATAATGATAAGAATGGCGGAGACTCGTCTGCGTCCAGAGCAGTTTCTGAGGATGTCTCAGGCGAGACGCTCGTTTCAGAACCACAAGGAGACCATATTGCGAGAATGTATCAGGCGGTTTGCTGGTTTCGGCGAGCAGACTCGACTGCGTCTCATAAAAGTGCGAGGTGCCAAAGTAACGCTTCTGGGGTGCCGGGTGCGTTATACTTTCGCAGGAGAGGGGGGGGTCTTAATTCCTTCTTGCGGTCATGTGTGTGTGTCATTTTCCCAACCCTCCTGTGTCCGTAGCCGTTTTGGCTCAACTTTCGGGGCCCGAGCCGCACTGCCAGGTCTGGGGTCCTGAGACGAGCCGCGCATGCCCCCGCGCGGCGCTTGATGCCACATGGAGCTGGCCGCGGCGCTGGAGCGCGCACCTTGGCGCCGTCGACCGGGGCCCCCAAGGCAGCGGCCGCGGGAGAGGGCCGCCGCGCGCGACGCCGCATGGCGCGAGGAGAGGCCGGTGCGGAGCCGCAGCCCCAAGCCTGCGGAGCCGAAGGCGGAACGGATGCGGGCAGCGCGCAGCCGGAGCCCAGGGCCAATGGCGCCGAGGAGGCCGAGGAGCCCGGAGCGCCGCCTTGGGTGTGGAGGCCCCAGCGTTGACGGCAGCAGTGGAGGAGGCGGGCCGCGCGGCCCGCGCAGCGAAAGCGATGGCGCGGCATGCGGCTGCCCTTGCCATGGCGGTGACGGCCATGCGGCCGCTGCCACACCGCCCCAGAGTCGGCCTGCCGGAGCCGAGGAGCGCGGAGGCGGCGGAGCAGCTGAAACGCCCGCTGCCACGGCCAGATCCTCCAAGCCAGAAGGAGGCCACGCGGGAGGAGCGTCTACAAGCCCTCCCAGCAGCCAGCGCGGCGCGCACAGCCGCCCCGCTGGCTCGTGCACAGAGGGTGCAGATGGTGGAGAGAGTGAGCGCCTTTGCGGAGGCGAAAGCACGTCTGCTCCCAGGAGCCCTGAGCGCTACGACATCGCCAGCGGCTCCCCCACCACCAGCGACCGCACCACCGAGACGTACCAGTTCGACCCGGAATTCAAGGGCGAGTGGGGCATCGAGTTCCACGCCCGCACCGCGGCGCTCGAGCCGGTCTCCGGCTTCCCAGCGCTCGCCCCGGAGTCGCTGCAGCTGGACCCCGCCGCCCCGGCCTCGCAGGGAGCCCCGCCGTTGGGCGCTCGCAGCCGCGCGCCGATGCCGCGGAACAGGCCAGAGCGGCTCCCGCGGCGCCGCCGGCCCAAGCGGCCGTGCAGTACCCGGAGGCGGTCTTGAGAGCGCCGTGCGGCACCTGCCTCAACCTCTACAGCAGCGAGGCGGTGTCGGCGGTGCTGTGCCGAATGCTGCCGGGCCCTCCGGCGCTGGCGCCCCTGACTGGTGGAGACCAAGGTGCTGGCCACGGACGTCGACACGATGCAGAAGCAGCTCGACGTGCTGACCCAGCGCGTGCAGGACCTGATTGACGTGCCGGCGCCGCCTCCCCCTGAGGCGCTGATTGACCAGATGGACGCGATGCAGACGCAGCTCGACGGGCTGACCCAAACCGTGGGCGATCTCAAGGTCGCGGGGTCGCCGGCCCTCCCGGAGGGGGCCGCGAAGCCGGCTCTGGCCCTTGAGGAGATGCAGTCGCAGGTCGCCGACCTCGCCGCACGTGCCGGACTTGAAGGCCAGGCCGGCTCCGGCGCCGCCGGAGGACGCCATGAAGCTGGCCACGGTTTTCGACGAGATCAAGGGGCAGATCGCGCCATTGCAGGCGCAAGGGAAGGAACTCCAGCATGCGATATCGCAGCTGGAGGCGAAAGGCAATATGCATTCGAGACGAAGATGCTGAGAGAGATCGCGCCTGAACTGCTGACGCTCGCCGGTTTCTTCGGCGCAGCTTCTTCGCGGCCGGCTTCTGAGACGGGGCAGGCCGCCTGACCCAGCCGTTAGCGGCCTGAGAGGGCATACGACCCGGCCAATTCGTGCCCAGCCGTGTCGTAACGCATTCGGCCTGTGAGGGTTGGCTTTTTACCCCCTCTGGGGGCAAGCAGATCTACCTCCTTCCGGGGTCGGCGGATTTTCTGTACCCCCCATCGGGGGTCGGCGGAATGTCTTCACCTGCTGTCTTTTCCTGGGATGGCCCGCCGAGGAGGCAGGCCAGCACGGGTGCGCAAGGGACGCCACCAACCCTCCTGTGTTGGGCACTCGTTTTCAATAGAGCACTGTCTGACCCCACCTTCTCCTTCTCCTCCTCCCCCTCCTCCTCCCCCTCCTCCTCCTCCTCCCCCTCCTCCTCCTCCACCTCCTCTTCCTCCTCCTTCTCCTCCCCCTCCTCCTCCTTCCTCCCTCCTTTATCATCCTCGTGCGCCTTTATTCACCAAACGTTTTCGCCCATGCAATAGTTCACCCCCCCCGCCATTACGCTACCGAAGAACCCCACATACCTATATTATGGCTGGAGTGATGAGAGCTGACGTGAAGCATGTGATAATGATGTTGGTGGCCGTTGCCCCGCCGATACCGCTGTGCCCTGGACGACCGTCACGGATGGCGGCCGCGGTGAGAGACCACCCCCTGCGCACCCCCTTTATGGTGTCGAGAATATGCCATGCCCGCTGCGCCCTGGACGACCGTCACGGATAGCGGCCGCGGTGAGAGACCACCCCCTGCGCACTCCCTATGGTGTCGAGAATATGCCATGCCTGCTGTGCCCTGGACAACCGTCACGGATAGCGGCCGCGGTGAGAGACCACCCCTCTGCGCACCCCCTTATGGTGTTGAGAATATGCCATGCCTGCTGTGCCCTGGACGACCGTCACGGATAGCGGCCGCGGTGAGAGACCACCCCCTGCGCACCCCCTATATGGTGTCGAGAATATGCCATGCCTGCTGTGCCCTGGACGACCGTGATCGGTGAGAGACCCCCCCTGCGCACCCCCCGAGAATGCCATGCCTGCTGCGCCCTGGACGACCGTCACGGATAGCGGCCGCGGTGAGAGACCACCCCCTGCGCACCCCTATGGTGTCGAGAATATGCCATGCCTGCTGTGCCCTGGACGACCGTCACCGATAGCGGCCGCGGTGAGAGACCACCCCCTGCGCACCCCCTATGGTGTCGAGAATATGCCATGCCTGCTGTGCCCTGGACGACCGTCACGGATAGCGGCCGCGGTGAGAGACCACCCCTGCGCACCCCGTGTCGAGAATATGCCATGCCTGCTGTGCCCTGCACGACCGTCACGGATGTGAGAGACCACCCATTGCGCATGGTGTCGAGAATATGCCATGCCTGCTGTGCCCTGGACGACCGTCACGGATAGCGGCCGCGGTGAGAGACCACCCCCTGCGCACCCCCTATGGTGTCGAGAATATGCCATGCCTGCTGTGCCCTGGACGACCGTCACGGATAGCGGCCGCGGTGAGAGACCACCCCCTGCGCACCCCCTATGGTGTCGAGAATATGCCATGCCTGCTGTGCCCTGGACGACCGTCACGGATAGCGGCCGCGGTGAGAGACCACCCCCTGCGCACCCCCTATGGTGTCGAGAATATGCCATGCCTGCTGTGCCCTGGACGACCGTCACGGATAGCGGCCGCGGTGAGAGACCACCCCTGCGCACCCCCTACGTGTCGAGAATATGCCATGCCTGCTGTGCCCTGGACGACCGTCACGGATAGCGGCCGCGGTGAGAGACCACCCCCTGCGCACCCCCTATGGTGTCGAGAATATGCCATGCCTGCTGTGCCCTGGACGACCGTCACGGATAGCGGCCGCGGTGAGAGACCACCCCCTGCGCACCCCCTACGGTGTCGAGAATATGCCATGCCTGCTGTGCCCTGGACGACCGTCACGGATAGCGGCCGCGGTGAGAGACCACCCCCTGCGCACCCCCTATGGTGTCGAGAATATGCCATGCCTGCTGTGCCCTGGACGACCGTCACGGATAGCGGCCGCGGTGAGAGACCACCCCCTGCGCACCCCTATGACTGCCCTGGACACCGTCTATCGAGATGGGTGAGAGACCACCCCCTGCGCACCCCCCTATGGTGTCGAGAATATGCCATGCCTGCTGTGCCCTGGACGACCGTCACGGATAGCGGCCGCGGTGAGAGACCACCCCCTGCGCACCCCCTATGGTGTCGAGAATATGCCATGCCTGCTGTGCCCTGGACGACCGTCACGGATAGCGGCCGCGGTGAGAGACCACCCCTGCGCACCCCCTATGGTGTCGAGAATATGCCATGCCTGCTGTGCCCTGGACGACCGTCACGGATAGCGGCCGCGGTGAGAGACCACCCCCTGCGCACCCCCTATGGTGTCGAGAATATGCCATGCCTGCTGTGCCCTGGCACGGATAGCGGCCGCGGTGAGAGACCACCCCCTGCGCATAGCGGCCGCGGTGAGAGACCACCCCCTGCGCACCCCCTACCTGCCAGACGAACGGATAGCGGCCGCGCCATGCCTGCTGCCTGCCCTGGACGACCGTCACGGATAGCGGCCGCGTGAGAGACCACCCCCTGCGCACCCCCTATGGTGTCGAGAATATGCCATGCCTGCTGTGCCCTGGACGACCGTCACGGATAGCGGCCGCGGTGAGAGACCACCCCCTGCGCACCCCCTATGTGTCGAGAATATGCCATGCCTGCTGTGCCCTGGACGACTGTCACGGATAGCGGCCGCCGTGAGAGACCAGCCCCTACGCACCCCCTCTGGTGTCGAGAATATGCCATGCCTGCTGTGCCCTGGACGACCGTCACGGATAGCGGCCGCGTTGAGAGACCACCCCCTGCGCACCCCCTCTGGTGTCGAGAATATGCCATGCCTGCTGTGCCTTGGACGACCGTCACGGATAGCGGCCGCGGTGAGAGACCACCCCCTGCGCATCCCCTCTGGTGTCGAGAATATGCCCTGCCTGCTGTGCCCTGGACGACCGTCACGGATAGCGGCCGCGGTGAGAAACCACCCCCTGCGCACCCCCTACGGTGTCGAGAATCTGCCATGCCTGCTGTGCCCTGGACGACCCTCACAGATTTGTGCAGACGTCTTGGGTGTATGATGCAGTGAACATGCGTCTTGTGTGTGCGAGTGTGTGCATGCGTGCGGCTGTATGTAGACGCGTGTCTCATGTACTTGCCGTGCATGTGTTGACCGCGGGTTGAGGAGAGGAATGAAGAGGAGGAGGGGAGGAGGAGACGCGGGTGCGCCGCCGCAGGGAAGAAAACCAGAACCCCACGAAACATGTGGGGAATATGTGCGGAGTAAAACACCCGCAATTCCAAGCAATTCCTAAACGGTTGCACCCCTCGCCGCCGACACATCTGCACCAAACACACTGCACGCAAGCCCCAGACATGCGACATTCCAACTTCCAATGCGCGGTCCCCCGAAATCTCGACCACTTCCCCAGGACCGCTTCATCCTGTGTCGTTCTTGTATGGCCCTGGGGCCCGGTGAGGGCCCCCCAGAGGTTGAAAACGGCGAACAACCTCCCGTCCTGATTTTTTCGCGACGCGAGCACATCTGGGGCTTGGCGGCTCGACGACCCGACGCGACCGACCGACGGACCTCGGCTCGAGCGGCCTCGGCCACCGACGCCCGGAGGGCCCCCGAGACGGCGGCGCGCGCGCGCGCGCCTCCGGGGCCGCGCCCGGGCAAGCGCTGCGCAGGGGGCACTCGCTGCACCCTGGGCACTGGCTCAGCACCAGGTCGTGCGCCCGCTCGCATGCGCTGGCCTCGTCCTCCTCGTCAGGGGGCGTCCTTCCATCTTCGCCTGCTGTTGCTGCTGCTGCTGCTGCTCCTCCCTCCTCCTCCTCCTCCTCCTTCTCCTCCTCCTCCTCCTCCTCCTCCCTTCTCCTCCTCCTCCTCGCCCTCCTCCCTCCTCCCTCCTCCCTCCTCCCCTCCCCTCCTCCCTCCTCCCTCCTCCCTCCTCCCTCCTTCCTCCCTCCTCCCCCTCCTCCCTCCTCTCCTCCCTCCTCCCTCCTCCTCCTCCTCCTCCTCCTCCTCCTCCTCCTCCTCCTCCTCCTCCTCCTCCTCCTCCTCGTCATCATCATCATCATCATCATCATCATCATCATCATCATCATCATCATCATCATCATCATCATCATCATCATCATCATCAGCAGCAGCATCATCATCAGCATCATCATCATCACCATCATCATGATCGTGATCATGATCATGATCATGATCATCATCATCATCAGCATCATCATCATCATCATGATCAGGATCATGATCATGATCATGATCATCATCATCAGCATCAGCATCAGCATCATCATCATCATAATCATCATCAGCATCATCATCGTCATCAGCATCATCATCCTCCTCCTCATCATCATCATCATCATCAACATCAGCATCATCATCATCATCAGCATCATCATCAGCATCATCATCATCAACATCATCATCAGCAGCATCATCATCTTCATCATCATCAGCAGCAGCATCATCATCATCAGCAGCATCATCAGCATCATCATCATCATCATCATCAACACCTTCCTCCTCCTCCTCCTCTTCCTCCTCCCTCCTCCTCCTCCTCCTCCTCCAACTCCTCCAACTCCTCCAACTCCTCCAACTCCTCCTCCTCCTCCTCCTCCTCCTCATCTTCCTCCTTCTCCTCCTCCTCCTCCTCGTCCTCTTCACTCCACATTATCCCCTCCTCCACTCTCCTCCCCCCCTCCTCCTCGGACCTCGGATCGTGGCATGAGTACCTCACTTAAGGTTGCAGCCATGCCCCTCCTCCTCCTCCTCCGCCTCCTCCCCCTCCTCCTCCTCGTCCTCCTCCTCGTCCTCCCCCTCGTCCAAGTCCTCGGCCTCGTCCTCGTCCTCTTCCTCCTTCTCCTCCTCCTCCTCCTCCTCCTGCTCCTCCTCCTCCCCTCCTCCTCCTCCTCCTCCTCCTCCTCCTCTCCTCCTCCTCCTCCTCCTCCTCGCCTCCTCGCCCCCTCGCCCCCTCGCCTCCTCCTCTCCTCCTCACCCCCTCCCTCCTCTCCTCCTCCTCCTCCGCCTCCTCCTCCTCCTCCTCCTCCCTCCTCCCTCCTCCTCCTCCTCCTCCCTCCTCCTCCTCCCCCTCCCCGCCGCTCCTCCTCCTCCTCCTCCCCTCCTCATCCTCCAACTCCTCCTCCTCCTCCTCCTCCTCCTCCTCCTCCTCCTCCTCCTCTTATTCATCCTCCCCTTCATCCTCCTCTGCCAGGCCGTGCTCCCGCTCGCAGGCGCCAGCCTCCTCCTCCTCGCCCCGGGGGTGGTGCCGAAACTCCTGCCCCCAGCCTCCCAAGACCCCCGTACTGCATTAACAGAAACATGACATGGGGCCAATGTCTAGCTTTTGTCCGCCTCTGTGGACCCTCGCCAGGCCCCCCAAGGGCCATCAGAAAACCGCTCGGCATAAGTGCCAGTCCTGCGGAAGGGGTCGATACCTCTGGGGGTCGACAGTGGACAAATAATGACGTCGGGGGTCTGGGTCCTTCCATCTTCTCCTGCTTCTCCTCCTCCCTCGGAGCAAGAACGAGGGGAGGAGAGGGTGCGGGAGGAGGATGGGAAAGAATCCCTCCTCACTCTCCCCCCGCACCCCGTCCTCTACGCCCTCCCCACACAGCTTCCTCTACTCTCCTCTTCTCCTCCCGTTGCCGTCCTACTCCGGATGGCGCCAGGAGGTCGCCTGGGCGATCCTCCCCCGCCCTCATCCGCAGGAGCAGCGGCCAAAAAGAAGGTGATTTATTTTTTCCCCCGCGCGCGAGGCAGCCGAACTGACCAAACCGCGGATACCGACGGTAAGGCCCCCGGGGGACCCCAGAGGCCTCAACGAGGCCCCAAAAAGCCTCGCCCAGATGCCCCCCAGAGTTCTCCGAGAGGCCCCAGAGAGGCATGCCAAGAGAACCTCATATTCATCCAGGAGGCTTCTGACCCAAGATAGAACTTCCCAGATCGTCTCAAATACTCACTCCTTGTAGGGGTCGGCGGAATGGCGTGAGCAACTGAAATAAAATGGGAGGGGGTCTGATGTGTGAGGGGGATCTGATTTGAGCCGTCTTGGAAGGTCCCAATGGGTCTGGGCCATGGCCGCCCTTTCATGGTTGGTCTGGGGGGGTCTGAGATTGCCCTCCCATTGATTACGACGTCTGGCGTACCCATGCAACATCCGCGGTCTTCGTTGATGATTCGGATCTGCGCTGAACCGCCCACCCCCCCCTGGCGTGCGAAGCGTGCCAAGGGCGGCGCCTGAGGCCCTGCCAACGTAGGTCCAACAAGTTCGCGCAGAGCTCCGGACATCTGATGCTCACAGGTCAGTCGAAAGAAGTAGGTGACAAAATGAAGCAGGAAGGCGGACCTTTCCAGAGAATGGCAAGACACGGCAAAAGCGCCTCGGTGCTCGAAGCAGGACGGCGCCTGAAATAGATTGGGGCCTGGGCATCCAGAAATGCCTGGTTTCAAAGACCAGCGTGTCTGTTGATGTCATTGCGTTTTCCCCGCCCCCGCCTTCCCACAGGCACGCCTTTTGCCCATCCATCTTGCTGCCGTGTCCCCCCCTGGGAGGTGGAGGCCTGGTCCAGCGGCCAGGATTCACAAGGGCGTCAGCGCTGAAGCAAATCTGTTCGGGGGGCGACGCGCGAACCCAACCCCTGCCCCGCACGATTTCTGAGGGGGAGGGTGGGGATTCACTTCGCTCGGGAGCTCCCGAACAAACTGACCCCCCCAGTTACACAGAAAACACCAGAAAAAAAAACCTGACCCGGGGGACGATCACTAAGGGATTTGGAATAGGGGTAGGATTCGCATGTGGCCCCCTAAATACAATACCCCGACTGGTCTTCTGTGGGCCACGCTCGACTTCGGAGATGCTAGCCGAGACGTGCTCACGCCGTGGCAACTTAAAACAATGTTTGTTGCACTTTCCGGCCTCTGGGGGCCTCGCTAGGCTTCGGGACCGCCCTGAAGACAACTCGGGCTCTGGCTCTGGGGAAGGAATAGGGACTTCCGGGGACCGAGCATCACAACAAATCATACATCGAATTCCTATGAACAAATGCGTGCCCCTCCTCCACGCACCGAGAGGTCTCCTAGATGGGGTCGGAGTAGATGGGATCGGAGGATCGAGCCGCATCGCCGATACATCGGCGATGCATCGGCGATGCATCGGCGATGCATCGGCGATGCATCAGCGATGCATCGGCGATGCATCGGCGACGTCGGCGTGGGGAAACACTGGCTCCACAGCGAGCCGCATTGTCGATGCATCGGCGATGCGCGCCATCCTCCGACCCATCTGCTCGGACCCCATCTAGGAGGCCCAGAACTACCCCCCAAAAAAACACCCCCTGTCCCGAAATGGGCGATCGACGTGCCCCATGTTCGTGTCCCACCCCACGAGGGGCCAGAGCATGGGCATAGATGGGCATGCAACCCCTGGAGGCCAGGCATCTGGTTGTCCAGAAATGGACGCAGCAGCCGGGGCATGGATAAGACGGCAATTTAGGAACGGGCTGACCCGTGTCAGCGCCAACCCTGATCACGCAGGACCACGCCGCGAACCCAAGCTGGCCCCCTGCACTAGCTCCCAAACCTGGGTCGGCGGAGGAAAAGGGGGAGTCAGTTCCGCGTGACTGCCACCAAACCCAGGCGTCGGCCAGAGGGGATTGGCTGTTCCCCGCTGGGGCTCACCCCCGTTACAGTCAACCCGAAGAGTAAAGATGCGCGGCAAGGATGCGAGGGCCTGGAAAGGCCATCTTCACGATTCTCGAAGATTCGAAACCTAATGGGCAAGGCAAAATCGGCGGTGGACAAACCTCTCTTTAGTAAACCTCCCCTTAATGAAAACGGCCTGGGACCGAGCCCGACGGACCTGGACCCGCAAAATAACGGCCGCGACGCCCCCTCGCGAACCGACAACGGCCAATTCCTTAATCGACGTGCCAGGGTAGGAGGTCTGTCCACCCCCGACAAAATGTAAGGACGCCAAGGAAATCTTGGAAACATCGCTCACCCTTCCTATGCGGGTTGACTGTACGTGCGTCCCGACTGCGCCACGACAGAGCATCGAACACGCTGGTCTTTCCACGCCTCTGGCCTTCCGAGGCACTCCCTCTTGCTCCCGATGCCGCCAACAGAAACAACGCACGCGAGGAGTGGGCGATTCGCGGTCGATGCGGCCCCCACCGCTGGGCCCATCCGCTCCTAGCGCTGCCCCTGACGTAAGAGACTCCTGTTGCGAAAAAAAATGACACCGTGCGTTTGGGCCCCCTTCGCGCCGTGCAACCCCCCCCCAAACCCCTCCTTCCGCATCATCTCGGATGCTGCGATCCGCGGCAGCCCCGAACGCCTGGAGGGAGTCCAACAGAAGCCTGACAGCAGCTGATCTAGACTGTTCCCCCGACCTTGCACAGCAAATATGAGCACTCAACTCGACGAAGGCCCGGCCACCACTACAGCAGTCGCTGTCACTCGCAATAGGTCGGAGCCCGTTCCCTGTGTATGGTGTTCCGTTTCGTGCGATTTTGTTGTATCGTAAATGCACACGTCCGAGGGACGCCAAATTCACTTCCTCCGCTCTGACCTGCAACCGACGAAGCCCTCTTTGTTGGTCCCGGAGAGAGCCCAGTGCACGAGGAACGTCAGAGGCACAGGCATGTAAAAAACTGAGGCGCATAAACAAACGAAACATGACATACATATAATTGCTCGGACTTCCGCGCGGATTTCTCGGTTCGGCGCTGGAATCCCCTTCGCGCGCCACAACAACACTGAAAACGCCGCCAGAGGGGCCAACGCCGATCCGAGAAAACCGCGCGGACCACAAACAAATTTCAAGGGGACCAGGGACACACAAATAAATACACACAACGAACAGGATGTTCAACATTTTCGCATATGTTTGGGATTTTCGTATTCCCCCCACTTCCCATAGTTTCCCATACTTTCCTGGGGATCGACGATTAATTGTGTCTGTGTGTGTTTCCCCCTCCTGAAAATGATGTCTGCGCAAGATGTTGTTTTTCGAGTTATGGGCACAGCGAGTCCCAACCGAAACCCGAGTCGCTCCTCCCGTGCAGCGCCCTGGCTGCAGCAAGGAGTTGGGAAGTAAGGAACCCACAAAGGACGTACGCACCCAACTATGTACATGAGCACGGCCCCTTGACCCGCGAGACTGGCCGCGTGATACGAACATTCGCGCATTGCGAAATCTCGAAACCAGCGTGGATTCATGTACGACGTGTACGCCCTTCTTACTGGGAGGTCTCCGTCGGAAAGATTGAGGAGGATTAAGCCCCAATGGGGCGCTGTTGCGCCAGATTGGGCCTCGCTTTAAGCGGGACTGATCAACTAGGCGGGACTAAGCCGGATTAGGCGGGACTAAGCGGGATTAAGCCAGATTGCGCCGGATTTCGGACCCGGGCAACATCAAAACTTGACCACATCCGAGGAAGTGAGGAGGAACAAGGAAGATCAGCATCGTTTATCCAGCACCCATCCCGAACCGCGTGGCCCAGGCCTCACTAGCCGATTTATCACTCTGGATGAAGATCTAGGCTGTCCTCTGGTTTCCAAGGGGGCATCCCGAGCTGGGGTGGTAAAGTGGTGGCAATCTGGACGGGGATTGGGATGGGGACAGGGGTCGGTTTGACGATACTCAGAAGAGGGACGTCCATGGGCGGAGGGCTCTACACGCATGCAACGTACAAAACCGTGCCGCAATGCCTCGCTTCGCCGGGCGCCCGTGCAAGGCGAAGAGGCAAGCGGGAACAGAGCCCTGAGGGGCCCACTCCACACGAAAGGTGCGCCTCTCTCAACCCTGTTCAATCCTCTTCCTCACCCTCCTCCTCCTCCTTCCGTCTGTCTTCCCCTTCATCTTGATTATCCTCTACCTCCTTCTCTGGATCGGAAGCGAACCGCGCAACGTCCTCGCGGTCACATTGCAACGGGGCCTCCTCGGTCAAGACGAGAGAGAGAGAGAGAACAAAAAAAATACAAAACAAAACACATAAAACGGCGAGAGAAAAGAGAAAAAGGGCGAGAGAAAGAGAGAAAGAGAGAAAGAGAGAAAGAGAGAGAGAACGAAAGATGGCGAACGCTAGAGGAGAAGAAAGAGGACCGGAAAAATCGAGGAGGGAGGAAGGAGGAGGCCACAAAACCGCGAAAATCACCGAATCCGGAGCCCCCGGGATCGGCGGCACTTGCCAGAGGCCATTACAATACCTTCTCTTCGCCCTAGACTACTGCTGAACCGTCGGGGCCGATCTTTGTCACCGTCCATCTTCCTCACTGTCGCTTCGTGGACCGCTCTCGGGAATCGGCGACGGCCGGCACGGACCACGACCCAGGCCCACTTCAAGACAAAAATCCACGACGTGCTGGTCATGGTCGACGCGTGTCTTCTCTCGATCCCATTCCTCTTCTTCGGCAGGCCACTGGGCACGCACACCCGAAGCGTCAGCTGGACCTGCGTCTGCAGGCCGTCGGAAGGCAGTGCCTCACCGTCCGCTCGGACGGTTGAGGCCGCAGGGCAGGCGCCACGAAGACCGTGGCCGAAACAGTGAAGTCGGGCACAGTGCTCAAGGATGGAGGAAGAGGACAAGGATGGACGACCAAAGTGACGCGGCGCCGCATCCGATCCCATTCCGCCGCATCCTCCTGACCTCAACTCGCCAGGAGCCCCACTCCTCCGGCCAGGCTCCTCCTGGAACAGGTGCCCCACGGCCCAGCTCACGCGGTCCCTGCAGGAGGCGGACACCCCGTCCACGAAGCAGTTCACCGCGCAGTCCTGGCGCGGTCTGGGGAGGGAGAGTGGGAGGGGGGTGCAGAGGCAAACGAGAAAGAGGGAGAGAGAGAAACAAAAAGAAAGAGAGAAAGAGATTTAATCACTCGACGCCGTGGTTCCTACAGTAGGTGAGAGCACCCGCCCCACGATCGACCTCGTCTGGAAGATAACGCTTTCCTTCAACATTTGTTATTGGCGGTCCTGGGGTCTGGGATAGGCCCCAAAAGATGCCGCAAACAACGGATTCATAGCTATACACATAGGTATGTGGATGTAAACATACATACATATATGACGATATATACTACACACATATACAATCGTATCTACACATACATGTACGTTTACATATACATTTACATATAGATATGAAAATGCATAGACCTATCCATACATATATATATATATGTAAATATACAAATATACATATGTGTGTGTGTGGGCAGCTACCCTCAGCACCCACTCATCGTCTTCTTTTCTGTCGACGGCTGTCCTTTCCCAACTCCTCTTTCGTTTCCTTTCTCCTCTTTCCACATTGTATGAATCATTATCCTTCGCATCCTCCACATGCTGTTACTGCTCGCCCTGCCGCTGCAGCCCCTCCTCCTGCTGCTCCTCCTCCTCCCCCTCCTCTTCCGACAGGGCAAAGGGAGAGAGAGAGAGAGAGAGAGAACAAAACAAAGAGAGAGAGAGAGAGACAGACACAAGCACACAATTACAAGGAAGCAGCGAGACGAGAGGGCGCCAAACCTTGTGGTTTCGTTTGGAGGTTTTGGATTCCTGGGGTGGCGATCGCAGAAGCCATGTGATTTCATTCGGATGTTCTTGAATTCTGCATTTTAACAGCCTCCAGCGAAAATCCAGCTGCAGACGCCATGCGCTCTGAATCCCAGATATCCCACTGACATCACAGTGTTTGCGAAACCAGAAGGCACCTACACGTGTGATGTTATTGAAATGTTAGGGGCTTCTGCGACAAGGACTCCAGGACTCCTGCGATTCCATTTAGATGCTCGGGATTTCTGGAATTTTACACCCTCCAGCGAAAATCCACGCTGACGTCCTCTAAGGTTCTGAATTCGAGATATCCAACAAGTCAACATGAAATCACAGGACTTCTGGGATTCTCATTCCAGCAATTCCAAACATCCAATTCAAATCACAAACAAGATTGGCGCCCTCTTGTCTCGCAAGCCCGGTGCTTTGATTAGGTTCTCTGGGACTTAAGCCCTGGGGCGCTGCAGCGTGAATTCTCGTTGGAAGCTCTAAAATGCATGCTCCACGCTGTAAACATCACAAGATTCCATGAAGACTTGTTCATTGCGTGGTAGACCAGCCCCCGATGATAATCTGCGCGGCAGAAGCGGGCGAGAATTTGCGTGCGTTCTGCAAGCAACTTGCGCGTTTGAAGTGGGACCATGTTTATGTATGTCGGAAATGCCTGGTGCGGAGCGACCCCCCCCACTGGGATCCCTCATCCCGGGGGTTTCGTCCTTGAGCCACCGCCAGTGCGGGCCAGTACGAAATACCCTAAAATGCACAGACCCCCCCCGAAACACCGCCAGTACGGACCCCGGCCTCCAGGCGAGAAGCGCGTGGGAACGCCCAGGGAGCACGTGCCGTTGTCCGGCGGCGGCGTCGGCGGTGGCGGCGTCGGCGGCGGTGGCGGCGTCGACGGCGACGACATCCAGCCAGAGAGCTCTGGAGGCCTCCGAACCCATGGAGGTCTCCTGGGAACAATTTTTTGGGTTGCGGACGTCCTCGGTTCCTAGAAGGTTCCAAAGGTTTCCATTGTACTCCTCGGCACTTCTAACCGCCCCCCCCCGAACTTCTCCCCACTCCATCGCACTTTTCGGCCTTAATCGGCAGTCCTCACCGCTTCTCCCGAGGCCCCCCCAACTCCCACAGGAGCCCCCCGCCTGTGTAAGTTTGCCATACTCCTTCAAGAGAAAAACCCTTTCTGCCGCACGCCAACTGTGCTACTTTCAGATGCCCTCAACATGCCGCGCGTACGCCTTGGACCTATGGATCGGGCCCTGGGGGCAAGGGACGGGGGTCGGAATCTGGACCCTGGTTTCCTAGTCGGCTTGTTCTTTTTTTTTCTCGAGAACGGGGGAGAGAAACGCGATGTATAGTGATGAAGTGGACGAGGACAAGGAGGCGAAGGAGGACGGGGGAAAAATGGTGGGCGGCGGCTCTCCGCGCTCTGGGCGGAGGGGGGACACTTCTGGTCATGAATGCGCACACATCAGAGAGGCCGTTGCCAACAGAAGCCACCGACCAGAGGTCACATAGAAGAGAGCCCACATACAAGATTTACCAACGACAAAGAAGATCACACGTAACAGAGGTCATATAGAAGGGATGCCACCGACAACGGAGGTCACCGAGAAGAGACATCATGTATGAGAGAACACGAGAGGTTACATATAAGAGAGGTCACGTAAAAGAGGTCTCACGCACAATGGACATATTTCGGCGGGTGTGGGTTTCTTCCAGATGCGCGTTTCCTCATGGGCAAACACATCATCGTCACTGCCGCGCTCCTCAATGGAACGCTTCTGACACTGCATGAACTGTCGCCGTGAACGTCTGGCCTCATGGCATACCGCGAAGATCACCTCCACAAAAACATACATAAACCAACGCCACAGCAACGTCTGCCCGACATGTGCCGTTCTTTGCTGTGAAAGCTTGTCGTTTTCAGATGCAGCGTCCCCAGTTCCGTACCTATACGACCACCTTTCGGGTGATAAGGTAGTTCGGGGGGGAAACAACGTCTCATTCGATCGGTCTCACTATCGATCCCACTATCAATATCACTATTGCTCTCGCTCGATCGCTCTCACCCGATCGATCTCGCAATCGATCCCACTCGATTTATTTCATTCGATCGATGTCACAATCGACCTGACAATCGATCTCACAATACCGATCTCGCATTATATCTCACATTCGGTTTCACTATCGACATCACAATCGATATCGCAATCAACGTCATCATATTCATCATCAACATCATCGTCAGCAACGTCATCAACATCATTATCATCATCATCATCGGGACACCGTCATCATCATCACCACTTCATCACCAACATGATCAACATCATGACCATCACCATCATCATCATCGGGGCACCATTATCTTCACCATCACCATCACCATCAACATCATCATCGGGACACCACCATTATCATCATCATCGAAACACCACAATCATCATATTATCATCACGGACAACGTCATCAACATCAAAGCCATCGGGACACCATCATCATCATCATCGACAACATTATCATAATCAGCAGCATCATATTCGGGGCACCATCATCAGCGTCACCATCATCATCATCACAACCACCACCATTGGGACACACTCATCATCATCAACATTATCATCAACATCGGCATCACCATGATTGGGCCACCGTCATTAACATCATCAACATCACGTCATCAATATCCTCATGATCATAATCACTACCAGGGCGCTAGCATCGTCATCGCCATCATCATTATCAACATCATCATCATGGGGACACCATCATCATCATCACCATCGCCATCATCAGAAGCATCAGCACCAACCTCATCATCATCATCGGGACTCCATCATCATCATCATGTCCATCATCCCATCATATCATCATCCCACCACCATCAACTTAATCAAGAGTATCGACATCATCATCATTATCGGGATACCATCATCACCACCCAAAACATCAACATCATCAACATTATCAGCATCGGGACATCCTCATCATTACCACGATGGCGATCAACATCATCCGCGCCATCATCATCATCAAAATCATCATCCGCATCTCAACAGCATGCCCATCATCAGCATCCTCGTCGCCAACATCCTCATCCACATCCTCGGCACACCATCCTCGTCATCATCATCAGCATCATCATCATCGGGACACCATCAGCATCATCACCACCATCATCACCAAAAACATCATCACCAACCTCATCAGGATCATCGAACACACAATCATCATCTTCATCATCACCATCATCATATCATCATCCTCATCACAACCTCATCAACATCATCATCTTCATCGTGACACCGTCATCATCGTCAGCAACATCAGCATCATCACCATCGGGACGCCATCTTCATCACCACCATGGCCATCACCATCAGCATAGCATCATCATTCACATCGCCATCATCATCATCCTCATCATCGGGGCACCGACGGGGCACCGGCGGGACACCGCACGCCACCGGGCCCCGGACAGGAAACATTTGGTCAGGCCGCGCCTCAGCCAGAGGCGGGGCACTTCTCGCCCGCCCACGCAGCTTCGCGTCGCCCGCGCGCAGGGCACGCGCGAACACGAAACCGAAAACGATTTCCCGGTAGGGGGGCCCCCCGTTCCACTTCGATCTCACCCCCTCACCTCCGACGCCCCCGCTGGATCTTAAGGTACTATGGCCATGCAATCCTTGCGTTCAGCCGCGTCATGCTTGGCCTTCTCGTTGCTGATTGGTTCGCCCGCGACGGCAATGACTTTGCCGTGCGGGCTTTGACGGGCATGGCGATCGCGGTCTCAATCGCCTCTGTCCTAGGCGTCGCAGGCTTGCTCAGAACGAACTCCTCGCCATCGTCTCACACGCCCCGGCGATTGGAGCGGGCTTGAGGCGGCGCCCTGCCAGCGCGCGCGACTGCAGTCAACGAGTCGCAGATCCTCTGCAGCAAGAAAGACACTCCGCCCTCGTCGGAAGGTATTTTGTTTCCTTTCATCACATTTGCAAGCACCTCGCAGAGATCGGCCGGGAACGTCAACGACATCTGGCGCATGATATGGCACCTAGCCCGGGGCGCGCGTAGACGGAGGAGCGGGGGGGGGGAGGGCGGAGACGACAGGACAATGACCTCGCGCGCAGAGCCCAGACGGGCCCAAACTATCGGGCGGCAGCTGCCGACGCCGCTCCCCCTGAGCGAGCCCTGAGCGAGCCCCGCCGCCCTCCGCCCCCCTTTCATTCTTAACCTTTGAGGGGGCGGGGGTCCAGACGTTTTAACGGAAGGTCGCTGACTGCGTAAATTTCGATCAGCAAAATGCCCCGGAGGAAACCCGCGAATAGCAACTGCATCGGAGGAGAATAACGAGCTCAAGGGGCCCGTGATATCAGGGCGCTGGCGCAGCGAGCGCGCTGCCCCCCAGTGCGAAGTCACCCGCGTCAAGCCCGGTCTCTTCAACGAAATCTGCATTGAAAACGTCCTCGCGTTCTCCCGATTCCGCGCGGAACGCGCATGCCAGAAATCATTCGGGCTCGATGTTGCACCGGGCAGAAGCTTTATCCGAACGGGGATCTCGGACCCAAGACGGACGCCCAAGGCTTGCCCCTTGCTTCATGCCCATGGCGCGCGCGCGCCCCTCGCCGCGCCACCCCCGACTCGACGTGCGTCGCCGAGGCCGCCCCCGTGCGCGGCTGTGTTCCACGCGATCGCAATCTGTATTCTTGGAGACGCTGAGCCAGACATGCACGGAATGGGTTTCGCATGCGCGGCGTCTCCTCATGTGTTTCATTGTGTTCGCCCGGTCGTCCCGTGCTCTTTGCGCGGCGTGCCGGAATCTCTTAAGTTTGATTTTCCCGCCTCTCTCAAGATCTGGGCGATTGGGGTCGCTACCAGCGCCGTGCGCAGGAGGTCATCCCCGCGCAACTGCGATCACGCAATCATTATGTCCACCCTCTGCAAGCAACAACTGGTCGAGCGCGCACAAGTGTTCATATGCACAACGTTCGCTGTCCGCGTGCCATGATTTCCTATATGCTTGAACGGCTGCCACAACAACTATCCCCCACTGTGTCGCAGTGGTTGCGTCCACGAACGACGTATCGACGCAGCCGAAACTGCGGGCCAATGCGCCCATGGCCAATCTGCGCGACGCCGTGGACATCCCCGCCCACGCGTGACAATGTCAGTGGCCACCCGCACGCATAGCCACTATCCCAGGTAGTTCACGTTCGTCTACTTTTGGAGGCCCGGACGTGGGGACCAAAACCAAAACAGAGGGTTGCCTCCACAAGGGGAAGATAATGCTAGATTTCGGCGTTGGCGGTAATCTGTCGGTCGCCTTGAAAGCCAGAATATTACCGCCATCGCCGAGATCGGGGCCTTCTTCCCTCGGTGGAGGAACACCGCCGATATCGGTGTTGGTGTCACCTCTAGGCCTGCGCGATACTTCCCACGCTTGGAGCCTACGTCGCAAGCGTCGGTCGCTGCGCCCCGGGGTCGCAACGCGTGCCTTTTTGTCGAGCACCTGCTGCTTCAAGCTGCGATTCCCTTTGAAACTGCCCTGCGCGAGCGCGTCGGGCTGCCCGCCAGACTCCACCGCAACGCCTGGGGGCGCCAATGAAAACATGTGAATGACTGTTCGCGCGTCGATGCCCAGCGCGGTTGATCGGCATTTGGGCGATACTTCCGACCAGAGAATGTATTATCGGTCCCTGGCCCTCCTGCTGGAAGTGCCACTGTCCTTTGTTTCGCCACCTCCTGGTTGTTCAAAGCTTGAACTGACAGCGCTGTGTCCTGCATGTTGCGCATGGTCATCCCTATCGCGCGTCCGAGGATATGGGCGGGGCGTTTGGGCTGCGACGATTTCTGTGCAAACCAGGGTCGGTGGTAAAATGTCGCACGATGGGGCCACAAACGCGTGATGAGATGGTTACAGGACAACCACTCAGAACCGGATCAGGGCAATTATGTTTTATGCTACAACTGCTGCTTCGCACAAGTCAAAGACAGAGCGCGCGCCAAAACGTGTTGCGTTGACAATGCGCATATCAGACTTGTGCGCATACATGATGAAGTCAAATGCTTGCACTGGCGAGCTCCAGAAAATTACGAGCACACATACACAACGAAACACTCTTAGCGGACCTCCGGACCCCACTCCCGCGCCCCCCACCTGAGAGCCGTGGGCTTGCGGTCGGGAGTGGCCACGATCTCGTCGTGGCGACCACCTCTGGGCAGGCCAGCACGTCGGAGAGCGCTGGAGTCAAAAGATGTGCCATAAGCTCGGACCAGCTTGGCACCGCTCCCCGTCGACCGGTGTCTCCTGCTCCTCCCATCCCTCGAGGGTTCGACCCCCAGCAATCAAGATGACGACGGTGACTGCGGCGTTGGTGATCGACTGCCCCTGGGCACTGCTTCACTCGGTCACGTTGTCGAATTCCTGGGCAGTCCGGCAAGCGATGTTTGGCGATTGTGCTGCATCGTACTGGTGAAACTTCGGCAACGAATATGAAGGCGGCACCGATGAACTCTTGGACCGTGTCGCTGATACCATCGGAGAACTGGGCTCGGCTGGCAACATAGCTTTGGCCAGCTGAGCGAGCTTCTGCGGAGTACGCATGTCCTGCCGCTCTTCTACATCACGGATGCGGCGCTTGAGTCGTGTCAATGGCCTCGATGCGGCTTCACGCTGTCGTGCCGGTGGAACTGGGGACGCTGCGGACTTCGTAGCTCCGACGTGTCCTATGAAATCCCGCAGTGTGGCCTCGAGCGTCGAAAGCCGAGGTTGTACGCGAGCAACCTGGTTTCCCCGCCACCGCTGCGCGTGCAATTCGTTCTTTTTGGACGCCCGAAATGGGTACGGAAAGAATGGGTACAATGCCCAACAGCTGTCCATTTTGAACAGGAATACTCACGCCGCCGCGGCCTGTGTCCATTCGAGACAGCAGGCCGCCTGCCCAACAGCGGCCGCTGTTGGGCATAGTGCCCATTTTTTCCGTACCCATTTCGGGCGTTCAAGTTCTTGGCCCCGCCCGTGGGCGGGTCCTCCTCCTCCCAGGGAGGAGTGGCTGATGTGGTGGTCTGGTCGGCCTGCTGGAGCCCGTCGGAGGTGCGCGCGCCCTCGATGCCGAGGGCCGCGTCCGAGGCGATACCGCTGCACTCCGATGCAGCGGGGACCGCCCCATCAATCCCAGCGTGGAGGGGCACGGCATCACTCATCATCCGCCACCGTGCTCCTGGCACGAAGTTGACAAACCAACAACACACATCCATACCCATAAGGGGGTCGGAGAGGGCTATGGGTGCGTGTTGTCGGATGGGGGTCCCCGCTCGAACGGGAGCGTTCCCCAGGGTCCGAAAGCCCGCACCCATACCCATAGCCAGTCCTCCTCCCAACGACCCCCCTATGGGTATGGGTGTGTTGTTCGTTCGTCAGAAGTGGAGTGCCCCGAGGCTCATGCAGCACTGGAATGTGGAACGCTGTGCAGCAGCTGCTGCGGCGAGAGTTGCACTAAATGTTCAAATGCCCGGACCCAAACCTTCCTGGGGTTTTCCGGGCTGGCTCCCGTGAGTTGAGAAGTGTTTCTTGCGACTCCTGTGGACGCTGGGCCCCCCCCCCCAAGCGACCTTCCGAACCCTCCCATGAGTCCAGGAGGGCTTAGAATCGCCAAACGATCGCTCCAATACGCCCAAGATGTCCTCTGTCCCAAGAGGCCTCCACGACGCCACAAGAGGCCTCCAGGAAGGGCCCCAAGAGGCATACATTCCCGATGTGCTCTAAGTGTTTGACAGATCTTTTTCGCATTTTCGGCTTTCCGACGCTCCAAGACAGCCCACGAAGCCTTCAAGAAGGCGCTGAAATGGCCCAAGAGCGCCCCAAGACGGCCCAAGAGGCCCCAAAACGGCCCCCCGCGAGACCCCAACGAACATCCAATAGGCTCTCTACCCACACCCCAGGCACGGTGTCGGGATTGGCCGACGGCCACAAGAAATGATCGAACCCAGCGGGGACTGGCAGAAAGAACTACTGCGTTGACCCGATGAACGGCAACCGTGCCCAATTGTAACAACGGCTTTGGGCACATACCGGTTAGAAAGCCAGCATGTGCTGAACAACTCTGTGATACAGGAGGAGAAAGACGATAAACACAATCGAAATCTATGCTAAGGACGGGCGGTGAGGACGCAAGGGCCTTGAACTCCGGAATTGGTACTTTCGGGTAGCGGGCTGCCAAGACCCCGAAAGGCTGGCCAGTGAAAACTGCGAAGGACGGGCCGCAGAGGCAAGGACGCGGTGGGACCCTGAGGACATTCGTGCGTCCTTACTATGAGTTTTGACTTTAGGATGACTCGGAAGAGGCAGCTCATAGAGGGGGCACAATTCTAAAGTAATGCGTCGACTGCTTTCGTCGAAGAAGTCGGGACACCACCAACAGCATAAGGATACGACAAGGCAAACATCTACAATGATTGAAGCGATTGTCTTCATATCGTCCTGAACGGCAAACGCATGTCAGTATGAAGCCATCCGCTTATCCTTCTTCCCCCTCCTCCTCCTCCCTCCCTCCCCATGGCCGGTGGGGATGAGCAGGAAGGACCCCAGGGCTGTCTCCTCGCATCCGAGCTGCTCGTGCTCGCAGCACCACTCCTTCTTCTGGTCCGACCTGTAGCAGCGTTGCCGCTCACCCTCGCCGTCCTGCCGCCTCCTCCATCCTTCCCGTTCCTGCCTCCTCCACCCCACCTCCCCCTTCCTCTACCCGCCTCCTCCTCCTCCTCTCGGAGTGAGGCCCTAAAGGGGGCCGACAATAGCGTGGGCGCGCTCTACGTGGGGAAGCCACAAAGAGGCGTAACCGAGACTGCTGCCCACCCCTGAACCTCTCCAAACGTGCGTTCTGCCGAGAATGCCAAGGCGAATCCGCCCGTGACGACGAGGGCCTCCCAGGAAGGCCCCAACGGGGAAAACGGGCGAAGGGTAGCGGCATCGGTACCTTCTCCTCCCCTGACTCCACGATACCAGTGGCTACAGTCGGGGCGTTGACCTAAGGAACGATAAGTAAGGAACGAGGCCCTTTTTTTCCATAAGTTGAACTTCGATTTCCCATCGAAAACCTAAGGACAACCTAAGGCAAACTGCGACACAATTAAGGATCACGGAGCCCCTCCTCAACGAAAAGGGTTTTTTCTTCAGCGCCCCGACAGTATCTCAGAGTGCACAGAAAGCTGTCTCCTTGAATGCGATCAGCGCCAGCCCCGCAGGCGGCCGGGGGGCTAGTGCTGGAGAAGCCCCGAGAACATCGGTGCAGAGGGGGGATGCCAGCAACTCCATTCGACTGAGCTGTCCTCACACTCCTCCCGGGGCCAAAACTGACATTTTTTTCGAGCCGCGTCCGTCCGTGGCGACGAGGAGCCCCCCTTCCTCTCCCCATTCTGGCCGGAGCTGCTGCTGGGCCACTTCAGCCCCCAGCCCCTTCCTCTCCCCTTTCTGGCCGGAGCTACTGCTGGGCCACTTCGGCCCCCCTGTCGGCTCCAACCCTGAGCGCCATCAGCGCCAGCTCCTGCTCCAACGCCTGTTCAAGCTCAATTCATGCTTACCACCCCCGGGTGCGGGCAAGGGCGGCAACGCAGGCGGACCCACCGTCGGCCAGGAACCCCAAGCGGGGGTGGCGGTCTAAAGCTCAACAGAGGTCACCCAAGACAGCCAAGACTAGCTGTGTGACACGAAAGGCCTCCCAGCTGGCGTCGGAGTAGATGTGGTCGAACGATCCCGCCGCATCGCCGATGCATCGGCGACCTCGACGATGCATCGGTGACGTCGGCGTGTAGAAGATCGGGCTTCACATCGCGCCGCATCGGCGGCGAGGCGCGATCCTTCGACCCCATCTATCCCTGAAAGTCTTGAGAAACCCACCCTACTAAGATGTAACGAATTATTTGTCGGCGGCCTTATTCACGGCTTGGTGTCCCACCAATCGGGGGGTAACTGATTATTGTCTCCTGCGGTACCCGCCGCGAAACAACGACGCCGACAACTACGACTACAGCTACGACTACGACTACGACGGCTACCAATCCTGATGCCTCAGGAGAGCTCAAACGGAAAATCTGAGCTCAGAAACTTGATCCTCAGAACATTCGTCCTGAGAAGCTCCATCCTGACAAGGATTGTTGGAGCTCAGGCCCCACGAGGGCCCTCAGAAACTCCATCCCCAGAAAGACTGAGCAACGCCTTCGGCGAAGAATGTGTCGATCCGTATCGCACTCTTCTTACAAATGTGCTCGAGACTCCTCTGTCAGTCCACGGGGCAGTTTTCCATGGGTGAAAGAGCACCCCAAAATTATCCAACACGCCCAACAAGAGAGGGACAATTATCTCCGACGCGACGAGGAGGCTTTAGGACCAGGGGGTTCAAACTGAAGACATTATGAGGGTACTCCGGCCCCATTCAGGGGGCCGAGGGACCCTTGTGGGGCGCCTCAGGACCTCGTCTGTCTATCTGCCCGTTCTGATCTTCATGCCAATCGGCTGCAACAGCCCCTCCAGGGGCAAAACAGGTGTCGCATGTCTGCGAAGATTTCTGCGAGACCATGGATACATCGTATGCGTTCACAAACAGCAGAATCGGGGACAGAGCGAACCGACAGCTGAGAGAGGAGGAGGACTCGAGTTGCACTTGATCCTCAAGACTGCCCAGCGCAAAAATGAGGAAGAGGAGGAGGAGGAGGAGGAGGAGGAGGAGGAGGAGGAGGAGGGATCCCCAAACGCCATCCCCTGTGACTACATTGCCCCCTCCCCCCTCCTTGAGAAAAAGACGAGGTACCCATACCGCTACACCCCGCGAAGCCAGCGGTGGCGGCGAGGGCCTCCCAGCAGGCTTCACACAAAGAAGCAGAATCAGGCCGCGGTAGCGGTGTGGGTACCTTCCCCTCCACTCCCTCCTAACCAGCCTCAAACTTATCCCTATCCCTAAGATGGGCGAGCAGAAAGCGAGGACAATCTCAGGGATAGGCCCTCAAAAACTGAGGGAATCCTTGAGATCGTCATCGAGGTGAGGTGATGTCAAACATAGGGATAGGGATATGTTCCGGGCTGGTAACCTCCTCTGACCCCCACACCCCCCGGCGGCGCCTCGGGGCACGCAACGGCGAGCTCCGATCGGAGCGCCGCGGGAGGCGGCCACCGGGGAGGCGAAGTCTGGCGCCGGCCCGGGAGGCCCGCGCGCGACCTGCTAACGGCAAGCAGGCAGCGCACCCCCGATGCCTCGGGAGGCGACCTAGACTGGGAGGGCCGAAGACAGCAGGGGTAGGGATAGGGTAGGGAGTCTTCCTGCAGGTGTGCCAGGCGAAACCACCCAGGTACCTTATGAAGCGGGGGGGAGGGGTGCATGAAGCGTGGGGGGGGGTACCCCCGCGACGGGGGTCAACCTCGCCTCGTCGTCGCGCCGCGACAGAGGTCGGAGCGCCTTCGGCGCGCGGTGGCCTCCTGCGACGGGGGTCGATGTGGGGCTGTCGGCGGGGGCGGCGCCCCCCCGACGCTCATCAAGGCACTCGGAGTGAGGATAGCCCCACAGCCGTGGACCCAAGTTTTGGGCCACGAACTCACTGTGCTATCAGGGTCTGAAGCTGCACCCTGCCCCAGAAGCCACAAAGATGCGCGCCCGGACCTCCCGCGTGCTGAGCCCGGCCCTCGCGTCGTGCAACGACTCACACGCCCTGTTCTCCTCGCTGCCGTGCTCGGCCCCTGGGAGGCCCTCGCCCTGCACAGCGGCCGCCCAGCAACCTCCCCAGACAATGGGTCTCGACCCTCCAGGGGCCTCCTCCCGAGCAGCTGGGCAGCTGAAGGCGCGAGCGTCTGTCAGACGCCGCCCTCGGGGGCCTCCTCCTCCGCCTCGCCCTCGTCCTCCTCCTCGTCCTTTTCCTCCTCGTCTTCCTCCTCCTCCTCCTCCTCCTCCTTCTCCTCGTCCTCTTCCTCCTTCTCATCCTCCTCCTCCCACTCCTCCATTCGTTTTCCTTATAAACCACTTCTCCCTATCGCACCCGAGGCCTGCTTCCTGGGCGGGCCGGGCGCTTCGCCTGATAATTACTCACCATTTATGCCCCTGAGGCTTAGAAAGTGGTAACGATTTCACGGATTGAGGGCGGGTGGTTTCAATATGTGGCTCTCGCCCTATCGCTGCGCATATTCGTTTTAAAACTTTGCAGATTCATGGCAATTCGTTTTCAAAAGGTGGCTCCCGCCTTAGCGCCGCGCTCACTCGTTAAAACAAGTTGCAAGAGTTTCACGGATTGAGGGCGGGTGGTTTTCAACATGTGACTCTCGCCTTAGCGCCGCGCACATTCGTGTTACAAACAACTGCAGGAGTTTCACGGATCGAGGGCGGTTAAGTTTCAAAATGTGGCTCTCGCCTTAGCGCCGCTCACATTCGTTTTAAACATTGGCCAGGCTTTCACGGATCCCCAGGATCAACGTACCAGGAATGGTGTGTAGGAAAGATTGAGTATTATGAGGGTGTCACAGTTACGTTGAGTCGCGGTGTTGACGTCCCAGGAATGGTTCAGGATCGTCAACCTTCAGTAGACATGAACCGTTGTGGGGGCCTGTGAAGAGGGAACTTGGGGAGGGAAGGTCTACTCCAACATAATTGATGACTCTTTGGTTTACACTTCCTCCGCTTCCGCTTCCTCCTCCTCCTCCTCTTCCGCTTCCGCTTCCGCTTCCGCTTCCTCCTCCTCCTCCTCCTCCTCTCCTCCTCCTCCTTCACCTCCTCCCCCTCCCTCCTCCTCCTCCTCCTCCTCCTCCTCCTCCTCCTCCTCCTCCTCGCCCCTCCGAGGGACGGCGGCGACAGCGGCGGCCGAGGGGCACGACGAGCTCGACGGCGGCGCGGGCGCTGGCGACGCCGCGGCGCCGCACGGCAAGGGAGGCCTGGCCCGCGGTGCCCCGACCCAGCTGCAGTCCGGGCGTTGCCCTAAGGAACCCTGAGTAAGGAACGAGGTCCCATTTTCCCAAAAGTTAAACTTCGATTCCCTATGGAAAACCTTAAGGGAACCTAGGGCAAATTGCACAACAATCAAGGAACACCGAGCCCCTCCCCAACGAAAAGGGTTCCTTCTTCCGGGCCCCGACTCTACAGGGGTCCGCCCACGGCCCGCGGCGACGGTGCCGCGGAGGACTGGCCGAGCCGACGGGCGAAGCCGAGGCCGAGGCCGAGGCCGAGGCCAGCGAGGTCTGGGCGTCCGCGCCGCCGCCGCGCCCGTCTGGGCCGCTTGTGCGGCCCAGACGGCCTTGGTCGGCCTCAGCCTCGCCCGTCGGCTCGGCCCTGGGGGAAGCAAAAGGTACCCATCCCACTACTCCCCGGACCTCTCCTGGGGTGCGTTCTACTAGGATCTTGAGGCGAATCCAGCGGTGGCGACGAGATCCTGCCACCAGGTTCCAAAAGAGGGAAAACGGGCGAATGGAAGCGGCATGGGCACCTTTTCCTCCTCTGCAAAAGCGGCCAGGACGGGTGAAGCGGCGGCGCGAACGCCCAGACCTTGCCGGCCGAGCCGTGGCCGACATGCGCGGAGGGGCCGGGCCGGCCGGGCCGCCGCGGGGTGCCCCTGCGAGCAGGCCCACATCGCCCCGAGGCCCCCGCCACAGCATTTCCCAGACGGCCAGCCCCGCCTGGCAGTTGTGCCTCGGGCGCGCGGGCCGAGCCCGAACGGGCCTCCTCCTCCTCCTCCTCCACCCCCCCCTGCACCTGCTCCCCATCCTCATCATGATAATCCTCCTCCTCCTCCTCCCCCTCCTACTCCTCCTCCTCCTCCTCCTTCTCCTTCTCCTCCTCCTCCTCCTCCTCCTGCAACTCGTCCTCCTCTCCCTCCTCCTCCTCCTCCAACTCGTCCTCCTCTCCCTCCTCCTCCTCCTCCTCCTCCTCCTCCTCCTCCTCCACCTCCTCTTCCACCTCCTTCTCCTCCTCCTCCTCCTCCTCCTCCTTCTCCTCCTCCTCCGCCTACTCCGCCTCTTCCTCCTCCTCCACCTCCTCCACCTCCGCCTACTCCTCCTCTCCCCTCCTCCTCCTCCTCCTCATCATCATCATCCTCCCTTTCCTCCCCCTCCTCCTCCTCCTCCTCCTCCTCCTCCGCCTACTCTTCTTCCTCCTCCTCCTCCTCTTCTTCCTCTTCTTATTATTATTCTTCTTCTTCTTATTATTATTATTCCTCCTCCTCCTCCTCCTCCTCCTCCTCCTCCTCCTCCTCCCCCTCCTTATCCCTTTCCTCCTCCACCTCCTCCTCCTCATCATCATCATCAGCATCATCATCATCATCAGCATCATCATCAGCATCAGCAGCATCAGCATCAGCATCAGCATCATCGTCATCATCATCATCATCACCACCACCACCATCATCATCATCATCATCATCAGCATCATCATCATCATCATCAGGATCGTCATCCTCATCATCACAATCACCATATCCATCCCCATCCCCATCACCATCGCCATTACCATCCTCATCATCATCATAGACAGCATCATCATCACCGTCATCATCATCATCATCATCATCATCATCATCATCATCATGAGATCATCATCATCAGCATCATCATCATCAGCATCAGCATCATAATCAGCACCATCACGATCATCATCAGCAGCATCATCAGCAGCATCATCATCAGCAGCAGCAACCTCATCACCATGAACGATCATCAGCAGCCATCATCAACCACTATCGCCATCGCCATCACCATCATCATCATCAACAGCATCATCATCATCATCATCACCACCATCAGCATCACCAATCATCATCAGCATCATCAACATTATAATGCTCAGCATCATCATCATCGTCATCGTCATCAGCATCACCATCACTACATCATCACCGTGACCATCACCATCATCAACATCATCACCATCACCATCACCTTCACCATCACCATCACCAGCATCAGCATCAGCATAATCAGCAGCATCGTCCGTATCATCCTCCTCCTCCTCCAACTCGTCCTCCTCTCCCTCCCTCCCCATCCTCCTCCTCCTCCTCCTCCTCCTTCACTTCCTCCGCCTACTGATCCTCCACCTCCTCCCCCTCCTCCTCCTCCTCCTCCTCCTCCTCCTCCACCTCCTCCTCCTCCTCCTCCTCCTCCACCTCCTCCTGCTCCGCCTCCTGCTCCTCCCTCCTCCTCCTCCTCCTCCTCCTCCTCCTCCCTCCTCCTCCTTCTCCTCCTCCTCCTCCTCGTCCTCCGCCTCCTCAACCTCCTCCTCCTCCTCCTCCTCCCCCTCTCCCTCCTCCCCCTCCTCCCCCTCCCCTCCCGCTCCTCCTCCTCCTCCTCCCCTCCTCCTCATCCTCCTCCCCCCCTCCTCCTCCTCCTCCTCCTCCTCCTCCGCAACCTCCTCGTCCTCCTCCTCCTCCTCCTCCTCCTCCTGGTCGTCCTCCTCCTACTCGGCAGCCCGATCCTGCTTCTTCTTGCTCCTCCCGCTCCAATGTATCCCTTCCTATCCCGCTTCTACCCCTCCTCCATCTCCTCTTCCCACTCCTGCTCCTGCTCCTGCTCGTGCTCGTGCTCGTGCTGCTGCTCCTGCTTCTCCTCCTGTTCCTCCTGCTCCTGCTCCTTCTCTTGCTCGTCCTCCGCCTCCTCCTCCTCCTCCTCCTTCTCCTCCTCCTCCTCCTCCTCCTCCTCCCCGTCCTCCTCCTCCTCCTCCCCTCTGTCTTTCCTCCTCCCGCGTCATATCCTCCTCGTCCCCTTCTTTCCAGGCAAGTGTGCTGCGCAACACTGTGGGGCGGCCTGGACGGAAGTATCGGCCCACGGCCAAGCCGACTCGAACACTCCTCCCTGGGTCACCTGACTTTGCGCATTGCGCACCGCGGTCATCTTCGCGCCATCGCGCGCCTGGTCCGCCCCCCCTGGAGATGGGCAGCAGCCCCGGCCCAGACCGCCACGCGCGAAGCGCGGCTCTCCCGGCGCCCCCGCGAGTGCCCTGACTCAGGCTCCGTTCAAGGAGTCCTTCACTGCTCCACGAGGCCTCAGATGCGCTCCGAAGTGGCTCCAAGCGACCACGGAGCGTCCCGAGAAGTCCCCGAAGAGGCACCCCAGCAGAGCCCATCAGGTTCCCAAGAGAGCCCCGAGAAAGGCTCCAGAGCGTCAGCAGCGTCGTCGTCGCCGCCGCCGCCCTCGTCGTCCCCCTTCAGGGTCGGCGGCACCGGCGGTAAGGCCTTCCCGATGACGTCAGATTGGCCCCAGGCTCCGTCCCAGGACTTCACGAGTATCTGGCGGCCCTCGTTCGTTCCTAGATCGCACGCGGAACGATGGGAGAACTAGGCAATCCAGGAAAGCTTGGAACACATCACGGTCATGACGTCTTGCTCCTCCGACCTCCCATCCCCGCACGAGCCCACCTGGAGGTGTTCGCGCGGCTGCGCGCGCAGCCTCGAGCAACTTGGCGTGGTGCCCACCCAGGTGTGGGGTGGGGGGCACGCTCGGACGAGCTGCCTCACGCGGAGGAGGATGATCGAGGAGGCGGAGAAGGATCGAAAATGAGGCGGAGCAGGACGAGGAGGATCAAGGATAACAAGGACTTGCATCGAGCAGGCGGAGGAGGACGAGGAGGATCGAGGAGAAGGGGGGCCCATGAGGAGGACAACATCGCTGCTTGTCTCCATTGACTGGTACAGGTCTGTTCACCTCTGATGCTCCTCGGGAGCCGCCGAGGGGAAAAAGGGAACTGACTCCTCGACGGTGCTGCCGATAAGAAAGGGGAAGACCGTGGGATTGCACGCCAGACAAAAAAAAACGTCACGCGTGGGCCCGACATGAGTGGTGACTAACCAGGAGTGAAGGGGCCCTGGGACACACGAGCAAATACAGACAAACAAGAGGATTCCCCAATATGTTCCTACATTTTCGGGGTTCTTGTCTTCCCCCCCCCCATTTTACAATCTGTTCCCCTATGTGCTCCAGGAAATCGACGATGAATCGTGTCTGTGTGTTGTTCCCCTCCTGAAGGAGGCCAGGACCAGACGGAGGAGGAGGAGGAGGGGGAGGAGGAGGAGGAGGAGGAGAGGAGTAAGAGGAGGAGGAGGAGGAGGAGGCCAGGAACCCCGACCTCGCGCAGGCCTGCTCGGGGGGCGACCACAGCAGGCCCGTGCGCGGGGGCGCACGGGCCACAGCAAGAGAGCCCGGCGCCGCCCGCCGGGCCGGTGCCAGGTACGGCCGGCTAATTGGCCGCGGCCCGAGTGGCCGGGCCAGACTGTGCGGGACGAGAAAATGACCACAGCCACTGCTGAGGAGGAGGAGGAGGAGGAGGAGGAGGAGGAGGAGGAGGAGGAGGAAGGGGGAGGAGGAGGAGGAGGGGGAGGGGGGGGGGGAGGGGGAGGGGGGGAAAGGGGGGGGTGGGGGGGGAGGGAGGAGGAGGGGAGAGGAGGAGGAGGGAGGAGGAGGAGGAGGAGGAGGAGGGGAGGAGAGGAGGAGGAGGAGGAGGAGGAGGACGGAAAAATGACCGACCTTGCGCCGCCTTCCAGCCGGCCGAAAAAGAAACAGTGGTTGTGGTCATTTCCCTGGTGCCAGGCATGACGAAAGTGACCACAGCCACCGCTGTTTCTGCTAGCTGGAAGGCAACAGAAGAAAAGCAGTGGCTGTGGTCGTTTTCGCGTCCCGTAGACTGGCAGACACGACCTTAGGTGGGGGGGGGGAGGCGCGCAGGAGGAGGACGGGCAGAGGGCAGCGCAGCCTGTAGAGCGTCGTCCTCGCCACAGGCCGTGCGCACGCTCGCGCGGGCAGCAAGACGATCAACAGCTTGTGTAGTGCCGCCCGTGTATGAAACGCCACGGGCAACACGAGCCCACGTGCCACGATGGGCACGCAGGAGACAGCGACACATACGGGGCAAGGCCTCGGGAGAACACTCCAGGCGTGCCAAAGTGAGAGCTGCGCGAGGAGGAACACTGAGGGCACCAGAGGGGGAGGAAGACTGAGGATGTGGTCGAAACGGTTCCGACGCCGATGGCGGATGTCCGCTGACACTTGCTGACGCCGCGGACAAAACTGCAACACAGTCGGAAATCAAACCCTGCGCCCCCATCTCTCGAACCCTGCGCCCCATCTTACGGGTGTTGCTAGAAGTGCCCCTGGCCCGAGGTGCCCCCAGCTTTTCGCTGCATTCTTGGAACCCCTGGGACCCTCGGGGCCTCGTGAGGGGTGGCCTGGAGGCCGTCGGGGCCACCTCGAGCGGGGGCACCTTGGGCCAGGGGCACTCCTGACAGCACCCGAACCTCCCACCACTCTGCGGCACTTCTCGGCCCCGGAGCAGTCCGTGAGGGCCCCTGCGAAAACATGAATAAACGCTCGGAAGTCCGCGCCGACCTCTCGCAGCGGTGATGCACTCCCTTTTTTCCAGGGCGCGCGGAGCGCGCCGGGCGCGCCAGGGGGGCCCACCGCCGATCCGAACAATCCTCGCGGAGCTCCGAAGAACAGCTGCATGTGCAGTGTCTTCCTCGTCGAGCCTCGAGTCCCTGGATAAGGCGAAGACATCGCCTGGCGCGGCGAAAATGCGACGCCAGGATCTCACGGCGTACCCCCCCCGAGGCACCCCAAATGCTGCCCGACATGATGGGGCCGGGCCGGAGGACGGTGCCGCACATCGGTGGCGTCGGCGTGGGGAAGATTTGGCTCCACACCGAGCCGTGTCGGCGATGCATCGGCGATGCGGCGCCATCCTCCGACCCCATCCACAGGGGAGGCAAACATATACCGACGCCGCAACTCCCCGGACCTCGCAAAGGGTGCGTTCTGCCCAGAATGTCGAGGCGAATCCAACCGTGATGGCGACGAGGGGCCGCGGCGACGAGGCAACGGCAGGATGAGGGCACAGTACCGCATCGACAAGTCCGATCGGATATCGAAATGACTTGGATCGGATGCAATCGGCAACCGAGTTGGGAGAAGTCGAATCCGCGGATATCGGCAGGCTGGTAAACCTCCAGCGAGAAGTCGGACTCCGAATCGGAATTTGAAGCCGAATCGGAATCACAATCGGCAGACATCGAACTCGAACCGATCCGAATCAGAGGCATCGACATGCGCGCAGGCAGGGGCTCTCGGTAATTATATAGTCCTCCTCTGACCTGCTCCCCCCCTGGAAGTCTCAGACGAAACGCCCGGCCCGCCCCTCGACTGGCCTTGGGAGGCGATAGGGAGGATCTACGCATGAGGACAAGAAATTAACAAGATTAGCAGCATTGGCGCAACCAGACTCCATGAACGCAGGGAAGCCCAAACACTGGGCAGCCTTAGGCGTCGAGCCTGGGCCGCCCTCGGCTGGAAAACAGCAGAAAAAGGGGCGCCCCGTGCCGCGGGGCCCCCCAGCGGACCCCAGCAACCCCCACTAATAGGGCAGCCAGGGCCGACGAAACCCCAGGGCGGTGCGGGTCGCACTGGAAGCGCCGTGCGGCGCACCGCCCTGGGGGCCAGGGGCCCCGCGCGACAGCAGACGGGCCCCCGCCTCCCGCACCCCTCGCGCTCTCGGCGCTGGCGAGGGGTGCCTTCGCGCCGCGAATCCGGCGTGTGAGGCCCGCCTTCGCGCGCTGCACCCATCGCGCCCTCGGAACAGGCGATGGGTGGCGCGTCGCAGGCCCGAGGGAGCCACCGCCAGCCCGCCCCCCGAGGGGACCCCAGGGGGAGGAGGGACACCAAGTAGAACGAGCTCGGGGACCCCGAGCCAGGGGGGCCTGGCAACGGGGGGCATCCCGAGTCCGCCCCACCTAATGCCCCACCCCACCCTGGGGGAGAGACCCCCAGGGGGCCTGGGCGCCCAAGCCCCTCCGCCGCCCTCCGCCATTCCTGCGGATGGTCGCCGGCTCTATTTGCACCCCGCCGATACAGGCGGCGCCGACCACTTTGGGTTCCCGGGCTATCCCAGTGTGCTCACCGGGTCCCCGGCTTATGCGGGGGGGGAATGAGGACAAGAAGTGGATGAGGAGGAGGAGGAGGAGAAGGAGGAGGAGGAGGAGCAGGAGGAGGAGATGGGAATGAGGCGCTGGAGGAGGAGGATGCAGAGGAGGAGGGACTGCAGTTGGAGGGGGAGGCGGCGGATTCCTCCCCCCAGAGCGCGCGCCTCGGCGCGCTGGCGCCTCCCGCAGGCGCCCGCGCCGCCTGCGCCGCGGCAGGCGCGGCCGCGGGTGCCTCGGAGGCGCAGGGGGAGCAGCCCGCACGCCGCGGTGGCCGAGGAGACGAGCGCGCTCCTCCTCCTTCGCCTGCCTCTCCTCCTCCTCCTCCTCCTCCTCCTCCTCCTCCTCCTCCTCCGCCTCCTCCTCCTCCGTCTCCTCTTCCTCCTCCTCCTGTTCCTTCTCCTCCTCCTTCTCCTCCTCTTGTTCATCCTCCTCCTCCTCCTCCTGTTCCCACTTCTCCTTCTCCTCCTCCTGCTCCTGTTTCTCCTCCACATCCTCCTCCTCCTCCTCCTCCTGTTCCTCGTCCTATTCCTCCTTATCCTCCTTCTCCTCCTCCTCCTCCTCCTCCTCCTCCTCCTCCTCCTCCTCCATGCAAAGTAACTATGTGCTCGGCGGGGGATTCACGATCCACGACATCGAGGCAAGCGGGTGTTTTTTTTTCGGACGTTAGCGAAAGGTTACTTTGCGAGCAGCGGAACGCGATCGGGGATGGAAGGTGGGGGCCCCAGCTTTGCGAGGATGTGGTGCGATTCCCTGAACAGCTCGTCTGCAAGATTTCTGTATGAATTCTTCCATGGGGATCTAGACGCCTCAAGTTCCGGGGGTTGGGGTTGGCCTGACGGGAGAATCTGAGATGTGACGCGAACTTCCGCTGCCAACATTCCACGGAAACTTGACCGTCCAAATTCGGGACGGGCCCGTCCAAACGCGTCGGCAAACCCGAGCTCCGGCGACCTCGAGCCAACCCCAAGAGAGGGATACTGGGCCCCTCGTTGTCTCCCTTCGTGCCCATCGTGCCCCGACATCGCGAACTGCGTGAATCTGTTTAGGGCTTTCTGCCGCAAGAGTGGAATGTAATACTTATGTCTGGGCGTTGTTCCTCAATTTCGGCCACTGGAACCCGTTCCTGGGCCACGGGGCGCTCAAACATCACCTCGTCGAATGTCCAGGAAAGCCGAAGTGGCCCGTGACCATGGCTGGAAAAACTGGACTGGGCCGAAGCGGGCTCGAAACAGACGGGTCACGGTGGCCAGGGAACGATCCCGAAACAGACAAGGTATGGTGGCCCGGGCTGGGAGGACCTCAAGGCAACCGGCCAGGGCTGAAGAGAATATGAGATGAGAGCTGAAATTGTGCCATCTTCCCCGTACCATCCCTCAGATCAGCGCGTCGCAACAAAATCACGATGGCACAAACGGATTTTGAAGGTTCGGCTTCTGGGGACCGTCTCCCGGCCCAGGGACTGCCAAAGAACTACTCATGATCCGCCACCGTGCACCGAGGCGCGTGGTGGAGTGTCCTCAGGTCACTCCAATTTCTGTAGTTTCCATCGTGAGCTCTGAGCTACTTCAGAAACCAGAATCGAACTTCTGACCAAACTTGAATGAACGTGCCGCCACCCCTGCGCCGTATGACTCCCCGCATCTGCCTGAAAATTGGCACCTGGCCCACCATCAAGATAAGAGAAACAAAAAACGCTGCGCAAAACGACGACGCAAACCGGACCAATGGGATTGCCAACATCTGCTCCCTCATCTCCAACATCAGAAGCTTTAAAACCGGCAACTGTTGTGGAGGCATTCAAGTTTGTGTCTCGCCTCTGCCTCATCCTCCTCTTCGTCTCTGCCCTCGTCCTCATCCTCATCCCTCTACTCATCCTCGTCCTGGCGCTGGGAGGCGTGTCTCCTAGCCGCGGAAGGGACCGACTGGAAGGCCCCAAGCTGGAGCCACAAATGAGCAGCCCACAAGGGCGAGCCCAGGCCCAGACATCAGACAGCACGCTGCCAGTGCCTCCTCCTCTTCCTCCAGCGAGCGTCCGCGTGCGCTGAGCTCTTGCCTGTCCCAGCCTCCTTGGCCTCTCCTCCCTGCCCCTCCTCCTACTCCTCCTCCCCCTCCTCCTCCTCCTCCGCCTCCTCCTCCTCCTCCTTCCTCCTCCTCCGCCTCCTCCGCCTCCTCCGCCTCCTCCGCCTCCTCCGCCTCCTCCGCCTCCTCCGCCTCCTCCTCCTCCTCCTCCTCCTCCTCCTCCTCCTCCTCCTCCTCCTCCTCCTCCTCCCCCTCCCCCCTCCCCCTCCCCCTCCCCCTCCTCCTCCTCCTCCTCCGCCTCCTCCTCCTCCTCCTCCTCCTCCTCAGCCATTTCGCTCGGGGTAGGGGGGCCCTGAGCTGCGGGGGGCCAACTTCGAAGTGGGACTGCCCCCTGCGGGCCGCCAGCGGGGGCCGCGATGTCTTCTTCTCTCTTGCCCCCTCCGTCTCCTCTTGCCCCGCCGCCCGCCTTTCTCCATCGCGAAGGCTCCATCGGGCTCAGGTGCGACACCCTCCTGCTCCTCGACGGGAAGCCAGTGGAGGTGACGATCTGGGCCCCGACCAGCGAGGCCCCAAGCTGCTCCCACCCCCAGGAGGATCCGGCCTCAAAGGTGCAGAAAAGTAAAAGCAGCAATGGACAAGCTCATGAACCACATGCAGGCAAAAGTCGCGCCCCAAGCCAGCATCTCCCAGCGACGGGACAGCAGCGGTAGGCGACGATGGAGCCCAAGGAAACCCAAGTCCGAGCCCGACGACGACGGCTACAATGCTGGCGAAGGCGACGGACGTACGACGAAGGACGAGCCCGACGTCGTCAGCTGCAGCGCGACGACGACGACGAGCTACGAACGACTAAGGCGAAGGACGAGCCCGACGCCATCAGCTACACTCGACGAGACGAGTGCAGGTGGCGAAGACGTAGCCGTCCACCACACCCCGACGCCGTACCACGAGCAGTGGGAGGCGAAGGTGGAGCCCGACGCGATCAGCTACAATGCTGGGACCGAGGAAAAAGCTCGAGAAGTGGAGCCCACGGCCATCCTTGCAGCTCGCTGTGAGAAGCGAGAGGCGAAATTGGAGCCCACTATCCCTTCCCGCGAGCCACGGTACGAGCAGCGTGCCAAAAGCGGGGCCGGCGCCTAACCGCAAGACGAGGGAGGCGAAGGTAGAGCCCGACGTGTCCAGCTACAGCGTTGGGATCAGGGCATCGCGCGGAAGGCGAGCAGTGGCAAGAGGCACTGCGACATGCGGGGGCCAAAGTTGGAGCCCGACGCTCCCCCTACTCCTCCTTCTTCTCCTAGCCATATATTCCGATCAGTGGGAGGCGAAGGTAGAGCCCTACGTGAGCAGCTACAGTGCTGGGATCGCGGGCGCGGCGCGAGAAGTGGAGCCCGTGGTCCTTGACACCGCAGCTCACTGCGAGAAGCGAGAGGCGAAGCTAGAGCTCATTGTCACCTTCCGAGGGCCACGGTGCGAGCAGCGTGCAGAAATTGGAAGGCCAAGATGGAGCCTGAAGCCTACACCGTCGCCCCACCGCGAGAAGAGGGAGGCGAAGGTAGAGCCCGACGTATTCAGCTACAGCGTTGGGATCAGGGCAGTACGGTGTGAGAAGGGGAAGGCAACGCTGGAGCCACACGTCAGCACCCTAGCTAGCACAGCGCGCTGGGAGAAGCTGAAGGCGAAGTTGGAGCCCGACTCTAGGGAGCGAAATGGCGAGTGCGACGCGACGGACCCTATCCCTACTCTAGTAGTGAGAATGGTGAAGATGGCGCCGCGCGTCTTTTCGGGGAAGGGCTCGTCAAGGCAAGCATCTTGCGAGAAGTGGGAGGCGAAGCTGAAGCCCAATACCGTCGAGAGCCCTTGGGCAAACCCCGTGCGAGAAGCGGGGGGGCGAATCTGGAGCCAAATTTAGTCTCGAGCGAGGTACGTAGCTACAATGCTGGAATCAACTCGCGCGAGAAGGGGGCGCAGGCAGTGGCAGCGTGCTGTCACCGCATGCGAGAAAGCAGGCGTGGGGCGAGGCTCGGGGACGGCCCGACGCGACCCCCGCGCCCACGGCGCGAAAGCATAGGCCGTCGCGACCGTTCTGGCCCATAGCAATCCCATAGCAATCCTCCCCCTCCTCCCCTTCCTCCTCCTCCTCCTCCTCCTCCTCCTCCTCCTCCTCCTCCTCCTCCTCCTCCTCCCGTCTTCCCGCCGCGGCCTGGCTCGTGGCCACGGCCGTGCTGGTCTTCGTACTGGTCGCCGGCGGCGGCCGCGTGCCGGTCGTCGTCGGCGGCGGCGGCGGCGGCGGCGTGGGCGCCGCGGTGGTCTGCAGCGCACGTGACGCGCGGAGGCGGGCGAAGAGGGGGGGGCGACGGACGCAGGAGGAGCACGGAACGGGGAGCGGGGGCAGAGTGGTGCGTGGGGGGAGGGAGAAGTGCGGGCGGGGCGCGGGCAGAGAGAGGGGGGGGGGCGGAAGAGACGAGGTGGTGAACAACTTGAGGGGGAGTGCCAGACGTTGGAGCAGGACCGACGCAAACCCAGCGCGCATCAGCCTGCAATACTCTGAATACCTGGATAATCTGTGGACCCCCTGGGCCCCCCGACTACAAGGGCCCCCCAAACTACAAGGGTCTCGCCCCCAGACTACAAGGGCCCCGCCCCCCGGACTACAATGCACCCCCCCCCGCGGACTCCAAGGGCCCACCCCCGACCTTCAGGCGTCGTCGTCGTCGAACGGAACGTCACACCACGAAGATCAGAGTATCACCCCCTTCCGGACTACGGGACACCCCCCCAGGACTACAAGGGCCCCCTCCCCCCGACCACAAGGGCCCCCACCTGGACTAGAAGGCCCCCCCCCCCGACTACAAGGACCACCCCCACGGACTACAGGGACCCCCCACCCCCCGGACTACAGTGCCCTCCCCCCCCCGGACAATCGGTCCCCCCCAAGCTATGGAGGCACTCATCATCAAGTTCAATCATCATGGACATGTCTGCCAACGAGGACCCCAAACCGAGGGCCCTTGCACTCTCGACGCTTGTGGTGCGAGTGTCGGTGGTGCAGTGCGCGTGGTGCAGCAGCATGTGCGTGTGTGTGTGTGGCAATATATGCTGCACAGTCTATGCGGCCAGATTTGAATGTTTACATAGATAACTATTCGTCGACATATATATATATATATATATATATATATATATGTATATATATATATATACATATATACATACATATATATATATGTACACCCGAAGAAAAACCATTGAGTGGATGGTTTCCGCTGAGGAGATCGACCGGGAACCTGGGAGCCTGGGAACCCAAAGCCCACCGAAATCGGCCAAGCACCAATAACTGGAACCCGGGAACCCCGAACCGGGAACCCGGGAACCCAGCCTGCTACCAACATGGGCGGGAAACTTTCGCCAAATCTTTCAACTTCCGCTCGGACCCCTTCAGTGCGAGCACTGATTGGGGAATGTATACATGCATGTGAAAGGCAACCAGTATGGCGCATCTCCACGCAGCTATCTGCGTGGTGCAAGCTGTGTGGTGCAGTCGACGCGTGCGCCCGGAGAGGCCACCCCCGAGAGCGAGGCACCCCGCAGAGGTGCCCTCGCACGGGCACCCAGCCCAGCGCACGAGGCGCCCACCTGCGAGGCGGGGATGTGTTGAGCAGGAACCGACCGTCCCGGCACTCCTATAGGCCTACCACGAAAGTCTCTCAGAACCCAAACATGTTCCAATAACCAAAACAATGTTCTTAGAACATTCGCCCGATGCGCTAAAACAAAACAGTCCCAGCCAGAAATGTTCTAATAACATTTCGTGGAAACCACGGAAGGTTCTTAGAACATTCTTTGGTAAAGCTACAGGCACGCCTGGACGCTTCGCCACAGCTTCAATGTATCCATATCCACGGTCAGTTGGGATTAGTCCGACATGCGGTTCGATTCCCCCCACGCCCTCCCCCTTCGGATTCGAAATTTGGACCCCCCCCCCTTCCCCCTCTTTGCTCCAGAACCCTACCTAGCCTTGGAGGCCCACTCCCTAACCCTGACACCCTAACCCTCACTTAAAACCCTACCCCCACATTCCTAACCCTCACCTGAACCCTCACCCGAACTGCTCCCTATTTATATACACCCCGTCCCCCCGGCGACCTGCAGCCCTGGGGGCCCAAACATGTCCATATCCTCCGAAATCGACCCTCTGGGCGATGGTTGTGTATAAATCCCCGCCTCGGACCCCCGAAACGCCCTCGGGCCGGCTGGGGATCCCGGCCAGAGAACGAACCGCCGACGAACTGCCCATGGGCGAGCACCAGACGCAAACCCGGGACCCCAGCCAGCGCACGAAGCGCCCACGAGACGCCCACGAGAGGCGCCCATGTGCGGGCACTGGGCGCGGAAACCTGGGGGCGCCCACCCCAGGTCACGAAGTAAGACCAGCGGGACGCACAGCGACATACTAGTACTATGTCCTCCTTGGGGGCGCGCAGCCGACCAACACATATAGCATACCCACCCTGTCGCAGATCGTTTTCCGAGCGGTGTGGCACGCCACAGCAGATCTACTACAAGATGTCTCGGTGCGCACGTCGACCCTCGGGGGCGACGCACACATGGTATCAGTCTGTTGGGGTGATGCCGAAACAAGAGCCACAAAGCTTCTCGCCGCAACATCCCCATCTTCCGATGTTGGCCCTGTCAGCTCGCTCGCGCGCCGTTCGCATGTTCGAGCCTAGCGTTGTGGATGCCACGACACTGGACACCCTAACAGTTCTATCATCGAATCCAAAATGTGTTTGAAATGTCGGAAACCTGTCCTGAACACGTCTAAAACATGTCTTGTTACATGTTTGAAACATGATCAACACATGTTTAGACATCTGGAAATAAGTTGGCAACATGCTTCCTCTCCATTGCTCGTCCTCCACGAGCCCAGTGAGAAGCGATCGCGAAGCAGATCCGCGGTCCGACTCGAGAGGGGTGAGGGCCGATATGCTGCACGGCGCAGCGCTGCCGCCCCAAAACCAAGGCCACCCAGGCCGCCCAGGCCGAAGCAACGACCCGGGCCAACGCAACGACCCATGGGGACCCAAAGAATATACACCACCACCACGTCGATTCCTCCTCTCTCCTCTACCCTCCTCTTCCTCTCCTGTTTCCTGGGAGAGGGAGGGGGTGAGGGAGGTGGTGGTGGTGTATATTTGTGGGCCCCCGATACCCAGGCTGCTGCGCAGCGCTGAAGGCCGCCCAGGCCAAAACAACGACCCCAAAAACATGGTCGCAACCCCCTTTCGAAATGATGACATCAACATTATGGACGCCCGAAATGGGTACGGAAAAATGGGTACAATGCCGAACAACAAATGTTGGCCCAAACCAACCGCGGCCGCTGTTGGGCAGGGGGCCTCCAGTCTCAAATGGACACGGGCCGTGGCGGCGCGGACAGCGAGTCCTGTTCAAAATGAACGGGAACTGCTGTTGGGCATTGTACCCATTCTTTCCGTACCCATGTCGGTTGTCCCGAAACATGCCGTAAGCCCCTTGCCGTGCGGCGAGCGCCGGCCACCATGGCGAAGCACTGGCGGCCGCGAGCAACCACCCCGCATCCCACACCAGGGGAACGCTGGGAGGACCTGAGCCGCGCAACCGTGCCAAATGTTCGCTGCCCTCACATGTCCGAGGCAGCGAGGGCTCGATTTCGTTTCACGGCCCGCCACTCCCTGAAAACGAAGCCAGGGCGAGGATACCATCGGGAGAATATACATCGTACATAGAGAATCGCTGAGGTCCGGCGGCTCTGGAGGACCTCTCGGGCGCCGCGGCTTTCTCAGAGCGTTCCACAGCGCTCTGAGAGCGCTCGGGAACGCTCTGGAACGGATTCATCCTCGTCCAAGCCTTAGGTCGGGCATGTCCCCCCCTCGGATTTTCGACGAAAAATGAAAGATAACCCACAAATATTCAGAGCATACTCAAAAATGGTAAACAAAAATCGTCCCCGCACTATTTTGGAACTGTTTTCGAGACTTCCTCCTGTAGAGCGACAGGCCCGACCGAACCCTGGCCGCGTAAGACCCCTGCCTCGGAGCCAGGGGCGACCTGAGACAACGGAAGCTCCACATCGGCCCCCGGAGCCCTCCCATGGGGTCCACCCGCAGCGGTGCTCCGAGCCGCGTCCCGCCGCGGCGACGTGGGGCCCCCGACGGCCAACCACCGCCGCCTCAGAGCGCCCTCCTCTGATCGTCCATGCCGCGCTGGGGCGCCTTGCGAGGCGTGGACCGCGCACGTGGTGCCGGCTCTGTGGACATCCACGGTCGAGCCCCCTCCTCCTCCTCCTCCCCCTCCTCCCCCTCCTCCTCCTCCTCCTCCCTCCTCCTCCTCCTCCTCCTCCTCCTCCTCCTCCTCCTGCTTCTCCTGCTTCTCCTGCTTCTCCTGCTTCTCCTACTTCTCCTGCTTCTCCTGCTTCTCCTGCTTCTCCTGCTTCTCCTGCTCCTCCTTCTCCTCCTCCTTATCGTCCTCTTGCTCCCCCTCCTTTTTCTGCTCCTCCCTCCCCCCCCCTCGAAGCACAGGGCGCCGAACATCGCGTTCCGAAGCCTGCTTCGCGGCCTTCTCCGCCCCAAGGCGCCCCCAAGACAAAAAATCGGACTGCCAATTGAGACGACGGCGGCGCCCCCGCCCGGCTCAAATTCCTGGTCAGGGGCTATTTGTGGGGTCATCTCTATCGTCATTGGTCGTTTTGGCAGTCCGGATGAGGGGCGATTTCTGACAGTCTGGGGCCGTCTTCGAGTGATCTTATAGGACACCTGGCGCCCAGGAAGCCCCCCTGGGGCCCCCGGCACACCCATTTGTGGTGGGGGTCGCGGCCCTGGGGTCCCCGGATCCGGTTCCCCGTTGCATTTAGCTGTGCTAATACGCCAAATACCTATATACATAGAAAACTGATCTGGCTAGACCTGCATCCCGCTGGGGGGCGCCTGGTCCCGAGCGCGCCTGGAGGGCTCAAGACTATTCCTGATGGCTTCCAGAGGGTCCCAAGTTGGGCCAAGAAGAGGGCCACAAGACGCCCATGGCCCCAAGACAACCCCAGAGGCCCCCTTCTCGCCCCAAGACACCCCAAGAGGCCTCCCAAGGGAGTCCCAAGAGGCCCAAATCGCCAAATCTGTCGTAACCCGTATGTCAACAACTTCTCGTCTTCCCGACGCTCCAAGACGGCCTAAGGCGCCCCCCAGATTGCCCCAAGACAGTCCAAGACCCCCACGACGGCCCAGGAGGGCCCCAAGACAGCCCAAGAGGCGCCCCAAGGGGGCTGCAAAACGGCTCCCGAGAGGCACCAAGGACCCACACAGAGGCCCACAAGAGACCCCAAAAAGGCCCCAAAGGACCCCCAAACAGCCCCCAAGACACCCCAAGAGGCCTTCCAAGGGAGCCAAGAGGCCACCAAAATAGCCGAAATCCCTTGGTAAAACGTACGTCTTCAGCATCAACAACGTCTCACCTTCCTGACGCTCCAAGACGGCCCAAGACGCTCCCCAGATTGCCCCAAGACGGCCCAAGAGGCACTCCAGAGGCCCCCACGACGGCCCAAGACGGCCCAAGAGGATGCAACCTATGTAATGCAATCCATGCGGTCCAATCTATGCAGTGCAATTAATTTCTGTTCGCAATGAGTTGTCCACTCCACTGCTCGCGCAAACATCCCACCCACCCACCCGCAACTTGGTTTGCAAAATCTCTTAAGACCGTGACGGTGGGTACCAAATGGCACTTGGCAACGACAGCGACGCCGACGACGACGGCGACAACGACGACGACGCCGCCGACAACGACTACGACGACACCGACGACGTCTCCAACGACTTCGACGACGCCGACAACGACGACGACGACGACGACGACGACGACGACGACGACGACGACGACGACGACTCCGACGACGACGACGACGCCGACGACGCCGACGCCGCCGACGACGACGACGACGACGATGACAACGACGACGACGATGACGACGCCGACGACGACAACGACAACACCGACGACGACGACGACGACGTCAACGACGTCCCTCCACTCCTCCTCGTCCTGGCGCTGGGAGGCATGTCTCCTGGCCGCGGAAGGGACTGGAAGGCCCCAAGCTGGGGCCACAAATGAACAGTCCACAAGGGCGAACCCGGGCCCAGACAGCAGACAGCACGCTGCCAGTGCCTCCTCTTCCTCCAGCGAGCGCCCGCATGCGCTGAGCTCTTGCCTGTCCCAGCCTCCTCGGCCTCTCCTCCCGGCCCCGTCTTTTGGCGGTGCGCACAAGGGGGTGGAGGGAGGGGGGAGGGCTTCTTAGAAGGAGGCTGCTTCTTAGAAGGCGCCGGCCTTACATCTATAGATGATGCCCGCGCCTTCTAAGAAGCAGGGGTGCTTCTGAGCAGCCCTCCCCCCTCCCGCCCCCCCCTCTGCGCGTGGCTGAGTCTTCCCGCCGCGGCCTGGCTCGTGGCAGCGGCCGTGCTGGTCTTCGTGCTGGTCGCCGCCGGCGGCCGCGTGCCGGTCGCCGGCGGCGGCGGCGGCGACGTGGGCGCCGCGGTGGTCTGCAGCGAACGCGCCGCGCGGAGGCGGGCGAAGAGCGGGGGGCGCCGGACGCAGGAGGAGCACGGAGCGGGGGACGGGGGCAATGTGGTGCGTAGGGGGAGGGAGAAGTGCGGGCGGGGCGCGGGTGGAGGGGGGGGGGGCGAGAGGGGGGGGGGCGGAAGAGACGAGGCGGTGAACAACTTGAGGAGGGCGTCTGACGTTGGAGCAGGACCGACGCAAACCCAGCGCGCATCAGCCTGCAATACTCTGAATACCTGAATAACGTTTGGACCCCCTGGGCCCCCCGACTACAAGGGCCCCCCAAACTACAAGGGTCTCGCCCCCAGACTACAAGGGCCCCGCCCCCCGGAGTACAATGCACCCCCCCGCGGGCTCCAAGGGCACACCCCCGACCTTCAGGCGTCGTCGTCGTCGTCGTCGAGCGGAACTTGACACCACGGAGATCAGAGAATCACCCCCTTCCGGACTACAGGACCCCCCCCCAGGACTACAAGGGCCCCCCCTCCCCCCGACCACAAGGGCCCCCACCTACAAGGGCCCCGCCCCCCGACTACAAGGACCACCCCCACGGACTACAGGGACCCCCCCCCCGACTACAGTGCCTCTCCCCCCCCCCACGGACAATTGCCCCCCCCCCAAACTATGGAGGTTTTGGACGCCCGAAATGGGTACGGAAAAAATGGGCACAATGCCCAACAACAAATGTTGTCCCAAACCAACAGCGGCCGCTGTTGGGCAGGGGGCCTCCAGTTTCAAATGGACACGGGCCATGGCGGCGCGGACAGCGAGTCCTGTTCAAAATGAACGGGGACTCCTGTTGGGCACTGTACCCATTCTTTCCGTACCCATGTCGGTTGCCCCGAAAGATGCGGGAAGCCCCTTGCTGCGCGGCGAGCGCCGGCCACCATGGCGAAACACTGGCGGCCGCGAGCAACCGCCCCGCATCCCACACCCGGGGAACGCTGGGAGGACCTGGGCCGCGCAACAGTGCCAAATGTTCGCTGCCCTCGAATGTCCGAGGCACGAGGGCTCGATTTCGTTTCACGGTCCGCCACTCCCTGAAAACGAAGCCAGGGCGAGGATAACATCGGGAGAAGATACATTGTACATCGAGAATCGCTGAGGTCCGGCGGCTCTGGAGGACCTCTCGGGCGCCGCGGCTTTCTCAGAGCGTTCCACAGCGCTCTGAAAGCGCTCGGGAACGCTCTGGAACGGATTCATCCTCGTCCAAGCCTTAGGACGGGCATGTCCCCCCTACGGATTTTCGACGAAAAATTATTCACTTCGTGGAGCTCTCCATATGTGCATCTATTCGCATGGACTTGTCCGCCGTGAATGTCTAGGCTCAAGAGCTTTCGAAAATAAACGGGCTTCAGTTGTGACCGTCTGGACATAAATCTAACTGCGAATGAATTGGAGTGTGAATGAGCCTCAGTAGTACGAGCGCGTCTCTGTGCATGAGCCTGGGGCCTCCTGGGGCCTCCTGAAACCTACTGGGGCTTCCTGGGGTCTCCAGGAGCCTCTTGGGGCCTCCTGGGACCTCCTAGGGAGGTTTCGTGCCCCAGGAGAGGCGCAATATATAGCAACAGACGTACATAAAACATTGCGGATTAGAGCCACAGGAGAAGGGCAATCTATAGGAACACGCGTAAAACACCAAGGACTCGTGCCCCAGGAGAGGCCCAATCTATAGGAACATCAGTAAAACATGTAGGATTGTGTACACAGGAGAAGGACAATCTATAGAAACATACGTATAACATCAAAGAATCGTGCTCCAGGTGAGGCCCAATCGATAGGAGCATACGTAAAACACATGGGATTGGAGCCACTCCTGTTGCCTTCTGAGGCCTCCTGCTCCTGGGGCCTCTCGGGGCCTCCTGTTGCCTTCCGAGGCCTCCTGGCGCTTCCTGTTGCCTCCTGGGGCCTCCTGTGGTTTCCTGAGGCCTTCTGGAGCTTCCTGGGGCCTCCTGGAGCCTCTTGGGACATCCTGTGGCCTCTTGAGTCTTTCTGTTGCCTCCTGATGCCTCCTGGGACCTCATGTGGTCTCCTGGGGCCTCCTGGAGCCTGTTGGAGCCTCCTGTGGCATCCTGAGAAGAATCTGCGCCCACGAGCCTGGCCACCAAAACAAGCAAACCGATCGAGACATCCTCAAAATCTTGCCCACCTGGGGATTGAAAATGAGCGCCTCGCTCGAGACATCCTCCAAATCTGCTCCGAAAGCGAAGGATGTTGGCACAGAAAACAAGCAAACCGCTCGAGACATCCTCACTAAATCCTGCGAAAGGGGCCGAGTGAAACACCCCCCCGCCGCTCCCCTTAGGAACGTGAAAATGAGCGCCTCGCTCGAGATATCCTCCAAATCTGCTCCGAAAGCGAAGGATGTTGGCACAGAAAATAGGCAAACCGCTCGAGACATCCCCACAAAATCCTGCGAAAGGGGCCGAGTGAAACACCCCCCCGCCGCTCCCCTCAGGAGTGCTGAAGCCACAGAATCGCCTGAGACATCCTCAACATCATTGTGTGTGAGTCACCCGATGAGTGGACCTGGGTGAGTGTAGTGAATGTACGAGTACAAGTACGAGTGAGTCTGAGTGATGAGTGAGTCTGAGTGATGAGTGAGTCTGAGTGATGTGTGAGTCTGAGTGATGAGTGATAAGTCTGAGTCATGACTGAGTCCGAGTGATGAGTGAGTCTGAGTGATGAGTGAGTCTTAGTGATGAGTGGGTCTGAGTTATGAGTGAGTCTGAGTGATGAGTGAGTGGGTCTGAGTGAGAGGAGTGGTGTTCTGTTCTCTCTCTGTTCTTCCGGCGCGGTCCGCCAATAACAAGAACCCCATACTTAGGATATGGGGAATAAAAGATACCCCACAAAAATGGTAAACAAAAATGGTAAAATGGTACTCAGAAAATGGTAAAAGGGTAATCGATATTCAGAGCATACTCAAAAATGGTAACCAAAAATTGTCCCCGTACTATGTTGTAACTGTTTTCGAGTATTCCTCCTGTAGAGCGACAGGCCCGACCGAACCCTGGCCCCGTACGACCCCTGCCTCGGAGCCAGGGGCGAGCTGAGACAACGGAAGCTCCATATCGGCCCCCGGAGCCCTCCCATGGGGTCCACCCGCAGCGTTGCTCCGAGCCGCGTCCCGCCGCGGCGACGTGGGGCCCCCAACGGCCAACCACCGCTGCCTCAAAGCGCCCTCCTTTGATCGTCCATGCCGCGCTGGGGCGCCTTGCGAGGCGTGGACCGCGCACGTGGTGCCGGCTCTGTGGACATCCACGGTCGAGCCCCCTCCCCCTCCTCCTCCTGCCCCTCCTCCCCCTCCTCCTGCTCCTTCTCCTCCTCCTCCTCCTCCCCCTCCCCCTCCTCTCCCTCCCTCCTCCTCCTCCTCCTCCTCCTCCTCCTCCTCCTCCTCCTCCTCCCTCCACCCCCTCCTCCTCCTCCTCCTCCTCCTCCTCCTCCTCCTCCGCCTCCTCCTGCTCCTCCTGCTGCTCCTCCTCCTCCTCCTCCTCCTCCTCCCTCCTCCTCCTCCTCCTCCTCCTCCTCCTCCTCCTCCTCCTCCTCCTCCTCCTCCTCCCTCCCCCCCCCCTCAAAGCACAGGGCGCCGAACATCGCGTTCCGAAGCATGCTCCGCGGCGTTCTCCGCCCCAAGGCCCCCCCAGGAAAAAAAATCGGACGGCCAATTGAGACGACAGCGGCGCCCCCGCCCAGCTCAAATTCCTGGTCAGCATCGCTCCCCCCCCCCCGGAGCCCTCCCGGGGCACCTTCTGGCCCGCTCGTCGGGGCGGATATCCCGACGTCGTGGCGACGAGAAGGCTCTGGGAAGAGACCCGGCACGTGCGAGAGGAACGCCGGGGAGGGCTGCCGTCGCCGCCTCGCGGAAAAGCAGAAAAGTGAGAGGACCCCGCCTGCCACGTCCCCCCCCCCCTTCCTCGCAGTCACCCTCAGGGGGAGCCAAGTCTCCTCCCGCTCTCCGTCCTTCCTCCTCCTGCTCCATCCCTCCTTCCGCGGCGAGCGAGGGGAGGGGAAGTGAGAAGGAGAAGGCCTTCCCATAAGGCGGCGGGACTTCTCAGAAGCCCTCGCGCCTTCTGAGAAGTTGTTATGCGTCTTCGGAGAAAGCTCAGAGAACTCCTTAGAAGGCCTGGGGCCTGGGGACTTCTGAGCCTTCTGCGAAGGCCCGCCCTTTCTCACTTCCCCCCGGGCTCGCCGCCGACTCCTCCCTCCTCCCCCCTCCTCCCTCCTCCTCCCCTCCCCACCGCCCAGTTCGCCCACCTCCCTTCTCGTCCATCTCTCCTCCTCCTCCTCCTCCTCCTCCTCCTCCTCCTCCCCAGGGCCCAATGGGCTCGGGGACGCATGCGGCCCCTGCCACTGGGGCCTTCGGCGGAGCTCCCTATGCAGCCACGAAGCGCGTGAGGGGTATGCCGAAACGGTTGCGACGCCCAATGCGAACGGTGTCATTGGGGCCTTCGGTGGAGCACCCAGTGGGTCCACAAAGCGTTTGGGGTGTGCCGAAATGAACGTGACGCCCACATGCGAGCGGTACCTCTGAGGCCTTCAGCGGAGCTCCCTATGGAGCCACGAAACGTGTGAGCAGTGTGCCCAAACAGGTGCAACGCCCACATGCGAACGGTGTCACTGGGGCCTTCGGTGGAGCTCTCTCCCTATGAGGCCACGAAGTGTGTGGGGTGTGCCGAAATGGGCGTGACGCCCACGTGCGAGCGGAGACCTTGGGGCCTTCTGTGGAGCTCCCTATGGGGCCACGAAGCGTGTGAGCGGCGTGCCGAAGAGCTGACGTGACGCCCACGTGCGAACGGCACCTCTGGGGCGTTTGGTGGCCACCCCTGTGGGCCCACGAAACGTGTGAGCGGTGGGCCGGAGCGGGCGTGATACCACACGCGCAGTGTGTCCCTGTGGCCTCTGGCGAAGCTCCCTACGGGGCCACGAATCGCATGAGTGATGTGCCGAACCTCGCGTGACGCCCCAATGCGAACGGAGC